CAGTGAGAGAGGGAGAAAGAGGGCTGGGTAGTTGGGGACGGTTGATGTCTTTGGTCCATACTCTGGTGGAGGGGACTTTGATAAATCAGTGGGAAAAGAGAAAAAGGCACTTGAGTTTACAGTTGTCTCAGAAAGGTTTTTGAGAAGATGGACAAAGGGTTTACTGGAAGAAATTAATGAACTTTATGTTTTAACCTCCATTAGGCCTAATATGAATATCACATACAAAATGCCCTATGTGAGCACAAATTATATACCTACATATATGTATATACAGTAAGGAAACAAATAAAGGATTGAAAAAAAAAGAATGTGAATTGTTTGATTTATCCCAGTGGGAATTCTTTACAGGCAGAGGAAAAGAAGGAAAAAAAAACAGGCAGAAAAGTTGCACAGGACGATAGTTTCTTTGGCGATAACTTAATATCCCTACAGTTAGGAATGTAAAACAAAGGGTGGTTGAAGGAAGGCAGACAACTTTGCAGATGAGATAATTAATGAATTGTTTAGCATTTGTCCTGCAGCTTTAAATCACTACATACCGCAGCCTGTCGATGATGAGCTGGCTCAGATTTTGGTACAACTTCAGTCTATACAGATCTTTGTGATGATATAACCCCCCTACCAGCTGTGCATGCACTTAAAAGGAAACATTTTGGGAAATGCGCTCGCCGTCTTATGGAGTGTCCAGCAAGTTTGGATGAGAAGAGCAATTGCCTATCTGAACAGGGTTAGCTTTGCATAGCATAGGCCAGTCTGGCTTTATCCAGCTGTAACACAATGCACCTAATCAGCACATCCGACGCCCATAAATCACATTAAATGTTTTGAAGATTTTTTTTTTTTAAATTTACATGTGACTATTTTGCAGGGTCAGGCTGCGTGCCAGAGAACCATATTCAAAAGGGGTGAATTTGTTCCCGAATTAAAGATTTACAAAATTTGTAAAAAACAATAACTTTAGATTCATAACTTTACTGCATTTAACGATTCTAGTTTGTTACTTTACACAGCTGCAATAGGATAGCTCACAAGCAGTGTGACAGATGCATCCAGTGACTCTGTTATTGCAGCTCTATGCAGCTGTGACTTCTGTTATTGAGGTGCTTAGCAGACAATTTAGTTACACTGGAAATGAATTTGTATCATATTTTACAGTTATTTGCTTTGAGTCAGTGACTCAGTTGTTTTTATCATATCTAAATGTAAGCTTTTTATATCAGAGAGGTTTGGGGGGGGGGGGGGGGGGGGGGGAGTGATCATTCAAAATATGAATTTGAAGCTTTTTTTTTTTTTTAAAGAAAAAGACAAAATTGTTGCATGTAAATGAAGTCATCCTGAGCACTGTAAAATGTTTGTTGTTTGATACCAGGAAGTGGAGAATGTGCATGAATCCATGCAAATCTTGATTAAAACAGATTCCAACCACAATGAATTTAGTTAGTTTTTTTTCCGCCAGATTCTGTGAAATCTGTTGCACTGTTCATTTTCCAGCTGGATTTTTGTAGCTTTCTCAGAATTCAGATCAACGTAAAGTTTTTCAAAAGCTGTTATTTCTCTTCTATAAATGACACATTTAGCAAGTTTGAAAAAATTGTCCTCAATATTTCACCTCGACATCTTTAAAATGCTCTAACTGGTAAGGACTGTGCTTCAAGTGCAGCATTTACAGCCACCACCAAAAGTAGTAACTATACTTTAATAGACATGCTTCATTTAATAAAGCTTTAAGTCACATTTGAACGATTTTTTGATATAATGGTGCCCTCTGCTGGATGATCTGCACACTCTTACCGTTTCCACACAGTTGTTTCTAAACGTTTTTGACATTATTTTCATTGTTTTTCGGCTTGTTTTGTTTTGGGAACCATAAAATGAAATTGTTCGAGCTCCTTGTCTGGTCTTACCAACAACTCTACAAGTAAAACTCAACATACAGTTAGTAATGATCCAGTAGATATGTTAAAAAACTACACAACACAGTTATTTCAATGTTCCACGAAAGAATGTGTAAATCTACACAGAGTATAGTAATCCTGTTCAGCTGGATATGTGGAGGTCAGGGATGAATGTGTTGTGTAGTCTCAATAATATTAAAGCAATAGTGTGATCACAATACTGATAACTGGGAGGCTTAAAAACGAGCTATTACAGTCTCAGAGATATTGTAATATCGATAATAATACTAAAATAAATCAGTACGAATATTGTTGTCAATATGTGGCGAGTAAGACAGTCAAGGCCTTTGAACCAGTTCAAGGCTCCGAAATCAACAGATTCTGTGAGAGAGAGGAAGCATTTTTTCAGGGGTATAAAAGTCCAAAGAAAGCCGTAACCTTTTCCGTGCCAGAGTATTGTTTAAACTTAAAAGTCAGTCAGAAGTCACCAAACACTCAGGACTCTTCAGAAGATCGTGAAGTAGACTTATAACACTACGAATGGCTGGTGTGAAGCTGATATCCAGGTCCAGATTTAGTATCAGTCCGGGCAACGCAAAAACCTCTTTAAGCTGCTTTCGTGGTTACCCGAAGAGGTGCAATGTTAGTTTTATGATGAATTTACCCGTGTGAGTGGAAATTTCTTTGGGTGATGTACAGTGCGCTAATTCATGTGATTCATATACAAAGATGTAAACATTTAATTTCAGCAATTCCCAGCCAAACGCAGCGCAAAGCAGCGGCGTACACACACAAGAGTGTAAGAAGTTTTATAAAAGATTCTCTCTGAAAACAGTGTGACAGTTCAGATAAATCAGAGGATGCTGCAGGAGAATCAACACGGTTTTCTATAAGGATGAGCTCGTCTGTTAGAAATGGTTGGGACTGACGCCAAATCACCAACTTAAGTTGCGCGTGTAGCAATGTACCTGCGCGAATGGATCTTGTTTTTATTATAATAATAATAATAATAATAATTATTATTATTATTATTATTATTATTATTATTATTATTATAGCTTTTTCGATCTTTATTATTTATTTTATTTTATTTTAAATTACTACAATCTAAACAGACAGGACCGGTGGACAAGGAAGAGAAAGACGAGAGAAGTTGGGAAGAGGCTCCACAAAGGAGAATGGAAAGAAAATAGATGGAACAGAGAGAAAAGACACTAAAATTAACTGGATCACCTGCCAGGGGAAAAACATGCAAGAAGAGAACAACAAAGCAGGGAAACTACAGCAACAACCAACATAACCGTACATTACAGTGAATGCAAGACCGACAAGTTCAGCTCAGTTTTGCTGTTCCATAACTGATCAGAATTATTCCTGATGAGCAGAAACAGAGAGACAGAGCGGGAGCGCAACCTTTCGATCATTATTATTTCGATCCCTCTCTCATATTCAAAACATCAATGAAAGAATATCTGATTGGGACCTGATTGAAAAGCTGAGTAAAATGAGAAATGTATAAACAATTTGTTTCATTGTGCATATGGATGAAATATAATGTAGATAAATGGGATAAAGGTTGAACTGAATGTTAACATTCATCAGATCACAGCTCAGGTTGTGTCAAACCAGCAAGTAAAAACGTTTTTGAGACACTAGAGGATGTTACCCTTCAGAGGTCCTAAATGTACTAAATGTAATTGATAAATATAAGTTATTAGCCAGTAAATTACTTGGCAATGTTCATGTAATACAAATATATGTATTATATTTTTCCTGGAGGGCAGTCATTTTTAAAAACAAGATGGCAGCTGCAGTGTAAGTCAGATAAAAGATCAGAGAAGACTTAAACAGTATTTAAATATTCAGGATTTTTCAACATTTAGACAAATTGTGTTTGAAACTCAAACTAATCTGCTGCACACTTTCTCTAACTCTGCTGCCACAAGGACAGATACAGGAAGTCGCTCAAACCACATGAAACTAATCTTTATAGTATTTGTTTTATTTTACTCCAGAAGCAAAAGATGTTTTCCAAAAATGGGACAAACTGTTGTTTAATTTTATGGTTGGTGTGGTCCTGAGAGTCGTTGAGCTTGTCTTTGTTTTTTAGGGTCACAGGTTTCAAGCTGGTATCAAGGTGTGAATCATAAATGAGCCCCGCCTGGTCTCCAACAAGCCTGCCCCATAAAAGACTTTTTCTTTTGTTTCGGCCCAAATCATGTCTGTGGATCTTTTCTTTGTTAGTAACACTAAACATGTTAAAAGCTGAATTAAGGCTACACAGGGTTTATTTCCTCGCCCGATGAGTTAAATTCTTTGCTAAAAAAGTTAAAAAGCTTAAATTTTCATGTTCTATTGCTGTGACACAGGTGAGTGGGTCAAACATGAAACAGGAAGTTGACCCAGAAAAGCACAGGCTGAGGAAAATGACTTAAGTGTCTTTATTGTAAGATCATAAACTTGTTATAGCTAGTTTGTTGAATAAACTGATGGAAACAGGAACATGATGAAATCAATAAAAATGCTAATTTTTGTGTTTTTGAATGTTGGTTGTCATTTATTTTATTCACACAAATGCAGTTTGGATAAGTGCTGATGGTCCTTTGTTAATTAAAACCAAACAATCACCATTCCAAGATTAATCAATACCACTGAAACAGATAACAGACAATAGCTGAAACTATCTTTAATCAACAGTCAACTATCAGCTTCAATTGAACTGACTCAACCAATGAGAGCATCAAATTTGGATTATATGGTTTCAGCTAGGACTAAACCAAAAGTTGTATTTTTCATTAATTGGATGAGAAAATAAAACCTGTAAAGTTTAAAACTTTAATTTTATTTAATCAATGTTGAACTCTGAGATTAATCCAGTAAATTTTTATTTTAATTGTTACTGAAATGTTGAATTCACCACTGATGATAATCTTTTTCATCTATATGGATCCATTTCCACAACTTTTTGATCACCACTTCAGAACAACAACTACCTGGATACACAGGATCAAGACTGAACTCTGACATTAATCCAGTGAATTTTAACAACAGTCACGCTAAAGGACCACTTAATTGATTAAATCATGGTTAGTTTGTTACAATATGTGTAACATAACTGTCGTCCGACATGCAGCAGATTTGTTGGAGAAGCTCAGAAGAATCAAACTCAACATCTGGTGCATCTCGGACACCAAGGAATTTGGTGCTTTTGACGACATGTTGACGACGGCTGTTAATCAAGGTGTGGATTAAGCGTGCTAAACGAGGTCCTCCCAGTCTGATCAAACTCATTATCTTGGTACAATTCAGAAACAACACGCTCAGGCAAAAACTGGGTCGACCCCCCTCTGACACCTTAATGTGGGCTTAATGATGATATGATGCCCACGTCTCCCAAAGAATTCACACCTGTATTCATGTAAACTCAGCCACACCCACCTTGATTCAGACCCTGAAACCTGTGAGCCTAACGTTGAATACAGGGACAGTCAACGACTCTTAGGACCGCCTTGAATCCCAGTGGAGGTTAAATACCCGGCTCTCTCCACTACTATTTACAGAAGTTCCAGTTCCTCTGCAGGCTGATTTAGCTGAACTCAAGAAGATTTTTGAAGCTCTCAGCACAAGATTAGGTGAATACTGGGCCAACCATCACAGGACTATGAACTCTCCTCACTGGACTCCTCACTGCTCTCCTCGGTGGACTCCTGGGGGACTGGAACCCTCCATGAACTCATATCTGAATCCAAACCTCCACCAAGACGTGGGAGTGTACACACAGGAGCTGGCTGTGACCGTTCCTAAACCTGTGCACGTAAGGAAGGGGATTTTTTCTGAGCTGCACAGTAAAGTTTCAGAAGCTGGCATCCCCGTCACTGCAACACATTTTGACCAGCAGCAGGAAATGCTCTGGATGGGAAACTACACGGTAAGAGCCAAAATGATGCTTCAGCAGAGTTTGTTTCTTCTACATTCACCTTAAATGTTGCACTCTGTAATAATATTTGTGCTCTTCTCTTAGGGTCATGTAAAATCCTTCCTTGGACCTACGATGGCACACTATTCTTCTTTCCAAGTGCACGCAACTGATGCCATCAGACACATACAGAGTTTGGAAACAGGCGTGCTGTTCCTTTCTGAGTGCAACCTCAGATGTTACACTCGTGGAGGCCTCGTCATGTTTGATTATCGGTAAGTGTTACATTGACTGTTGATGACCTGAAGCTGTGAAATTATTCCTTATGTTATTGAATTAATGGCCATTTTTGGTGCTTTGCAGGATGGAGAAAGGAGCTGATATGCACAGTCTCCTCATGACTGATAACATGCTGCTCATGGGGGGATTACAAAACTATGTGGTTGAAATTGACATGAACACACTTCAAGAAACTCAAAAAGTAAGACACCAGGCTTATGTTTATCAAAATCCACAACTATCTATGCTTACACCACTGGCACATCATACAACTGACTTCACAGCGAGTGTCTGACTGTCTGCTGTCTTGATTGTCCTTCCAGTTCACAGTGGAGGCACCTGGAGTGACACTAATGCGTCAGACCAATCATTTCTTCGTCTTTGGGCACCCTTCTGGCAAAGTAAGTATCCCCTGATTGGATCAGTTTGATGAGGTTTGGTTTATATCTCTCTAACACTGACCCTCTGCTGATAACAGGTGACCCTTCGAGACTTACGCACATTTAGGACACAAAAGTTTGACGCATTTCCTGGCGGCCTGTCAGACTTTGATGTTCACGGAAACCTTTTGGCTGTGAGTGGGTTCTCCAGCCGAGGGCTGAATGAACGTTTCCTGATGGTGTATGACCTCCGCATGATGCGAGCTGCAACCCCCCTTTGGGTGCATGTGGATCCATTCTTTGTGCGCTTCCTTCCTACCTACACGTCACGGCTCGCAATCATCTCACAGACAGGTATGAAGCTGGCTTCAGGATTCTTTAGTCCAGTTTTCTGTAGCATAGTCTTACTATGTTTGGCCAATAAATGTGACACACAATTTCTTTGTGTGATTTGTGGCTTTGCTATAACTGCCTGCATTCTGTGTCTTTTTCCAGGTGAGTGTCAGTTCTGTGAGCCCACTGGCCTCGCCAACATGGCGGATATTTTCCACGTCAACACAAACGGCCACTGTCTCACAAGTTTTGAGGTCTCATCCAGCAAACAAGCCTTAGCCTTTGGAGATTCGGGGGGATGTGTGCGTCTCTGGTCCGATACTCGGGACGTTATGTTTAACGTCTACTCCAGAGAGCCCTGCGTTGTAGATGCACAGCCTCAGCTGGCCTGGAATCATAACCTGCAGCCCTGCTCTCCCATCCCCACTGCCCAGGCTACACCCAGCTCAAGGTAACACAATCACTAACGAGACTGAAGAGTTTGCATTAGAGCGTTCATACATATTGTTTTCAGATTCAATAAAAGTTTGTAAGATAATGTCGAGTCTTCCCCAGTTGATATAAATGGTTAGAGTCTCACGTAGTTCCCATTAAAGGTTTCCATCTAAAACATGTTTCTTTTCAACAGGTGGGCTCCTGGGATGGACCCAGAAATCCCACAAACTATTGAAACTGTTGGCTTCAACAGTTATGTGGAAAATCCTTCTGCCTGCCCCTGTAACCAGGTATGTAAAAAACTTTTTCTCTTTTAAACTGTCATTTTTACAATATTGTAATAAATTTACAAAAAAAGTTAAACCCATCTCCACGTGGTGTATTTTAAGTTTTTTTTCCTGTTTGTTGTTTGCAGGTCCCTGCAAATAAAGAAGGGTCACCTGTTTATTACAACCACATCCCTGAATCTCCAACAGAGAGTGATGAAGAGCCGCTCCTTCACATTGTTCCCGAAAAGTACAGAAAGGTTGGACTTGCTACGTTTCACCCTGGTGTTCATAGAGATACAGTTAATTTTAAGATGTAACAATTTCTAGAGTGTTGCTACAAGCTTTGATTTCCCAAACATGTGACGAAGATGTGTTTGTTGTGCTTCAGGTGACAATTAAATACTCTAAACGTGGACGGGAAGATTTTGACTTCAAACATTACAACAGGACGTTGTTTGCTGGCCTGGAGCCGCAGATTCCCAACGCCTACTGTAACTGCATGATCCAGGTAAGAAGCTGAAGGTTCACAATGTGTACATTTAATTTTTAATATGAGACAATTTGTCAAATGTTCCATGGGTCTTTTATGTTTGCATCTTAGGTGTTATACTTCCTGGAGCCAGTTCGCTGCCTTGTTCAGAATCATTTGTGCCACAAGGAGTTTTGTTTGGCTTGTGAACTCGGCTTCCTCTTCCACATGTTGGATTTGTCACAAGGAGATCCATGTCAGGTAAGTTTCTTTCTTTCTTTGTTTTCAATCTGTTGGGGATTACAAGGCTCTTACTTTGAAATCTCATTTTGTTGTGACTGCCCAAAGTAACCTCTAATGTCTTCTTCCTTAAGGCCAGCAACTTCCTCAGAGCACTTCGAAACGTCCCTGAAGCCAAAGAGATGGGCCTGATCCTCTCAAACTATGAGGAGACGACAGGAACAGTCAAGCTAGGTCGCTTAATCCAGAGATGGAATCACTTCATCCTCTACCAGCTCTTCCAGGAGACACAGGAGCAGGAGGATCCACGGGCCTACAGGACGACCAGGAGCAGGTAAAACACATCGTTGTTGACCTGCATTCTTACTGGACACTGTCCCAGTCTTATCATTATGTTTGTTTATAAATGCAGAGTTTTCCTTCTGGTTTCTGAAACTGTGATTTGTGTTTGTGTTGCAGTTCTCTGGGCTCCTCTGGCGACTCTGTCATTAGAGAGCTGTTTTGTTCTGAAGTTGAGAACCGCAGCCCGTGTCTCTGTGGCATAGAAACAGTCTACTCCTCCCTCATGTTGCTGTTCAACATGCATTACCCCAACTCTCAAGGTGAGTCTGAGAGCACTGAGAGCATGGATATCTGTGACTGTGAATTACTCTGTCTTTGAAACTTGAACTATTAATGATTACATAATGGTTTGAATGAATTTAGTTTTTGAATGAGCAGAGGGAAATATCTGCTTGATTTGATGTATACACTGATATTCATTGTACTTTGACACTTCAGGAGAAAGAATAAAGGAGCACGACTTTGCTGAGATCCTGAAGAAAAGCATCTGCCTGCAGCAGAGATCTCACACATGGTGTGGAAACTGTGACAAGTATCAGCCCACAGTGAGTTACAGCTTTCATTCACTCATAATGACAATTCATTTATGGTTGGTTGTTACCTGTTGTGCAGGGTAATCATTTCTTTGTGTTACACTGTAGGTGCAGACACGCAACATTCGACGTCTCCCAGATGTTTTGGTGATAAACTGTGAGGTGAACAGCAGCAAAGAGGCTGAATTCTGGAAGGTTCAGGCCGAGGTAAGCCACTGATTCACCGTGTTTAAATACAGTTAAAAGAAAGTAATGATTTATCTGTTCATTATTTACATGATTGCCTATGTTTCTGTTTTTATAGTACGCCTTCAACAAATCCATGCAGAAGACAGATCAGGATCAGCGTCACGTGTGGATCCCCGCCACTCTCAAGATGTCCCTCAGCAAAAGTCAGAGACTGGAGATCAGCAGCTGGCCTGAGGGCGAGGAGGTGAGGACTTTAGATTTTCAGCTGATCTTTGCACTTGAAGAAATAATTGAGTAACTTTTCATCACCAAGTTAAAATTTCACTTCAAGATTAAAACCATATTTCCAGGAGCAATATTTTTAAAACATTATTACACTAATCTGTAGATATTGAACTATAGGTTGGTTTTAGTGTTTTTGTTTCTGTAACAACATGAATTTCTCAACTGTTGTGAAATAAAAAAGTTTATCTTACAGTTATTTGCACTTTCTGTTACTAGTTAAGTGCTGCTGAACAGGCGGAGGGAGCTTCTCTGTATGACTTGGTGGCCACGGTGCCGCACATCCTGGACACTGGCGCGGGTGGTAATCTGGTCGCACACATCAAAGTGGGTGAGACCTACCATCAAAGAAAAGAGGTGAGTGATGCTTAGATAAGAAAATTTGACATCTGCTGACTACAAAAAGTTTCATTTTTAACATTCAAAATGATTTTATTATTTCAGGGAGTCTCTCGCCAGCAGTGGTACCTCTTCAATGACTTCCTCATTGAGCCGATTGAGCAGGTAAGGATCCTAGATAAGATTCCTGCTTGTTTATTCATGCTAACTTTAATGTGTGCAGTCATTTAAAAATGTTTCTCCTTTTGTTTTCAGACTGAGGCTGCACAGTTTGATGTGAGCTGGAAAGTGCCAGCCATCCTGTGTTACGCCAAGAGAAACTACCACACCAAATACGACCTCCGCAGTGAGTGTCAGCACAATCAGTCTGAAGTCAAATCCGACTTATATCGGACTCAGAAGCAGAGCAAGACAGACGCCACTTTCATCCCACTCACAGTCAGTGAGATGCCGCAGGCTGGTGACCTGGTGGGGCTGGACGCTGAGTTTGTAAAGCTCAGTGAGGTAAGTCTGGCTATGATACCATCATTAATTATAATATAGGATCAAAAACAATTTTAAATATTCCTAATACATATTTTCAGTAGTTCAGCTAATCTGACTCAAGTATTTAAAACAAAATTGACCCCTGAATGTGTGCGTTTGCAGGAGGAAGCAGTGCTGCATAGCGACGGCACCAAATCGACCATCACGCCCAGTCAGATGTCTGTGGCCAGGATCACCTGTGTGAGGGGTCAGGGACCCAACGAGGGGGTCCCCTTCATCGATGACTACATCTCCACTCAGGAGCAGGTGAGAAGCTGCAGAGAGAAAAGACCACGATGACCTAAAAGAATGAATATATAATGTTTCAAGGATCCACCCGCTAACTTGTCAATTTGTTCTTCCAGGTGGTCGACTATTTGACAAAATACTCTGGAATCGAACCTGGAGACCTGGATGCCACAGTATCCTCTAAGCACGTGACCACGCTGAAGTCGACCTACCTGAAGCTACGCTTCCTCATCAATGCAGGAGTTCGCTTCGTCGGCCACGGCCTGCAGAATGACTTTCGTGTCATTAATTTAGTGGTACGTTATTTCATCTGTTATATATTTCAAATTAGTTCATATAGTTTAGAGATGTTTTTTTATAGATGTGCTTTGATTTTAATGTTTTTTATTTTCTGTTTCTTAAGGTTCCCAAAGATCAAGTTATCGACACCGTCGACCTCTTCCGATTGCCCTACAAGAGGATGATTTCTCTGAAATTCCTTGCTTGGTATTTTCTTGGTAAGTTAGTAGAAACAAAAAAAACAAAATCAAATCCAAATAATCCAAATATGAGTCTTTAATCGAATTAAATCACATTATTACAGTGAGAGGGATTAGGATCCAAATATGTAAACTGAATAATCCGCTCATGTTACCGAAGTCAGTATAGTTCATGATGTTTTAGTTGTCATCAAACCCATCTTGGAATTAAATCTGAACAACAAAGTATTTAGAGGCTTTTTTGAGTTCATGCACTAAAGCGTACGTGTCAATTCCTCATATCCACACTGTAATCTGAAGCTGAACACTTTCATTTTAATCATTCCTGACCTTTTTTTCATGTCCACAGGCCTCAACATCCAGGGAGAAACCCACGACAGCACGGAGGACTCATGCACGGCCCTGAAGCTTTACAGGAAGTACCTGGAGCTGTATCAGGAAGGAGGGAATCATTACGTGACGAAAGTGCTCTACGAAGTCTACGACAAAGGCTTCCAGTTGAACTGGAAAGTCCCAGATTCGGACATGAGATAGTCCGTCTGAGTGGACTGAATGCACTCTCCTTCCATCCACGGGTGCTGCTGTGCTTCCCTCTGTGATGGGACTGTGAGCAACACCATGACCTGAAGATGCTCGGGCTGCTTATTTTGTATCATATTTTATAGTTATTTGCTTTGAGTCAGTGACTCAGTTGTTTTTATCATATCTAAATGTAAGCTTTTTATATCAGAGAGGTTTACAGGGGGGAAAGTGATCATTCAAAATATGAATTTGAAGCATTTTTGTTTAAAAAAAAAAAAAGAAGGAAAAAGTCAAAATTGTTGCATGTAGATGAAGTCATCCTGAGCACTGTAAAATGTTTGTTGTTTGATACCAGGAAGTGGAGAATGTGCACGAATCCATGAAAATCTTGATTAAAATAGATTGAAACTATAATCCATGGATGTTCAGAGAATCATTTAAATTTAACAATTAATTTAGTTTGTTCTTTTCACCATCCACCTTTGAATCTGTTGCAATGCGTATACCATTTCTGGCATTATGCTATCGTTGCTACTGCATGTCTCATTCACTACTACAATATTTTTATTTCACTTACATTTGCATGGAAACCTTTGACTTGTTTAAAAAAAATAATCTTTAGTATATCACACAGGAAATCTGAATAATTTGGAACCAGCCATGTGGTCTCGCAACACAATCTTCATACCTTTAACCCCAATTTTTGTAGATAAGGAAATACCTTTACTGCAGAAAAAGTGTTGATGAAATTGAAGGAGAAAAACCTGCACTGCTAAGGCAAGAGGAGAAAGTGAATAACATTGAAGGAAGCCAGGAGACGTGCAGCTTTTTAAAACTCTCTCTTTAAGTTACCCTCTCACTAATTCGGCATAAGTGCCCTTCAGATATCAGCTCAGGATACTCAGTTCACGGCTCTCAGTTATCACACAATGACTCTCAAACCTTCCCAAATCATGTCTATTTATTCTGAATGTAACGGTTCCCTCTACCTGATGTTTCTGGTACTGCATGGAGATGTCATTTATCTGTTTGCCATCCGTTCTGTCCATATTTACCAACAAAGGAGTAGGGAACATTATTCTTCAACTTTTGTCACTCTTGTAGATTTAATGGTACATATTTAAGGGATTAACAGCTTGTAGCATGTGAAAGGTGTTAGATGTACACCATGATATCCTTGGGTATGGTTTTTTCTTTTTCTTATGAAGTCATGAAATCTAAGCCACAAGGTCCTGGTCTGGTTAGACAGAGTAATGGAAAACTATAATGCAACTCTATAAATTAAAAAAAAACAAAAACAAAAACAAAAAAAAAACAAAGCATACACACTCAGTATTGCAAACTGTTTATTTGTAGTAAATGGAAAGTGTGCCATTCAGTGAGAGAGGGAGAAAGAGGGCTGGGTAGTTTGGGACGGTTGATGTCTTTGGTCCATACTCTGGTGGAGGGGACTTTGATAAATCAGTGGGAAAAGAGAAAAAGGCACTTGAGTTTACAGTTGTCTCAGAAAGGTTTTTGAGAAGATGGACAAAGGGTTTACTAGAAGAAATTAATGAACTTTATGTTTTAACCTCCATTAGGCCTAATATGAATATCACATACAAAATGCCCTATGTGAGCACAAATTATATACCTACATATATGTATATACAGTAAGGAAACAAATAAAGGATTGAAAAAAAAAAAGAATGTGAATTGTTTGATTTATCCCAGTGGGAATTCTTTACAGGCAGAGGAAAAGGAAAAAAAAACAGGCAGAAAAGTTGCACAGGACGATAGTTTCTTTGGCGATAACTTAATATCCCTACAGTTAGGAATGTAAAACAAAGGGTTGAAGGGTTGAAGGAAGGCAAACAACTTTGCAGATGAGATAATTAATGAATTGTTTAGCATTTGTCCTGCAGCTTTAAATCACTTCATACCGCAGCCCGTCGATGATGAGCTGGCTCAGATTTTGGTACAACTTCAGTCTATACAGATCTTTGTGATGATATAACCCCCCTACCAGCTGTGCATGCACTTAAAAGGAAACATTTTGGGAAATGCGCTCGCCGTCTTATGGAGTGTCCAGCAAGTTTGGATGAGAAGAGCAATTGCCTATCTGAACAGGGTTAGCTTTGCTTAGCATAGGCCAGTCTGGCTTTATCCAGCTGTAACACAATGCACCTAATCAGCACATCCGACGCCCATAAATCACATTAAATGTTTTGAAGATTTTTTTTTTTTTAAATTTACATGTGACTATTTTGCAGGGTCAGGCTGCGTGCCAGAGAACCATATTCAAAAGGGGTGAATTTGTTCCCGAATTAAAGATTTACAACATTTGTAAAAAACAATAACTTTAGATTCATAACTTTACTGCATTTAACGATTCTAGTTTGTTACTTTACACAGCTGCAATAGGATAGCTCACAAGCAGTGTGACAGATGCATCCAGTGACTCTGTTATTGCAGCTCTATGCAGCTGTGACTTCTGTTATTGAGGTGCTTAGCAGACAATTTAGTTACATTGGAAATGAAAAGTTTTTTACTGTAGTCTAGGATGGATACAAGTAAATACAAAACAACCCCCCCCCCCCCCCCCCCCCAAAAAAACAATAAAACCCAAACCACAACAAAAGAAAAAAAAACACAAAAAAACCCCAAAAACAAACCACAACACCTGAGAGCTGCTTTTAAACAGACGGGTGGTTCATTACTGCCCTCCTGAGACCAGAAAACTGGAAACACTCATTGCAACTACTGCTGCTGCACAGGGCCACAGTTGCAGTGGTTGTTTATTTTTCCACCCAGTGGTCCCAAGGAGCAAGAATGGAAATATCATTGAAAAGACACAGAAGCAACCTTAATGCTGTAATAAAAGTAAAAAAAAAGAAAAAAAAAAAGAAGCACCTGGCATGAAAAGCAAAAACTGCTAGTTTTTTCTCTTTCTGAAGCAGCTGTCTTAAAAGAAAAAAAATGTTAGGAGGGAAAACAAAACAACAACAAAAAAAACCCACAATCTGGGCCCGTTTAATGTGAAAGGAATCTACCCAATTCCTGGCTTGATGCCAGACCAAGCTAACTCATTGTTCCAGATAGTTTTGTCTTACTGTAACAAGCTAAAAGCTCATTTCCCATAACGCTAAATCATCCTTTCAAGACAAGCTAGAAAACATTTACCAAAGTTCAGAAACCAGTTTGCATTCTTTTCTACACAAATACTCACTAATTTAACTACGTAAAGAGTGTTAATCTCAATGGGGCAGGAAAAAAAAGCTCCATATGCCCAGAAACTCTTTTAAGAACCAAAAACCCCCCTTTAAAAAAAAAAAAAAAAAAAAAAAAAAAAAAAATCTGCTCAAAGGAAGACAATATGTTATGAAGAAGATGCAGCAATAATGTAACAACCGATTTTCCACTACAGCCTTTCATATGTACATTAACTACAGGATTATAAGAGGAGGAATCACCAGGGGGTCCATGTCCCAAACTAAGAGCCCACTGTGAGAGAACGACTTCGAAACGGGTAGTGTCGAAGGATGAGCGACGAGGTACTTGCCAGCCTTTTGTTCACAAACTGGACACTACGATGAGATTGAGCCCCAACAGCAGCAGCTACTTGGCAGGGAAAAAAAAAAAAAAAAAGATCTAAGAAATCAATACAACCCTCTAATGCATTCATCAGTTTACTCAATTTTACTTCCATAGATGCACAGAGTGGACATAAAAAGAAGAGCCAACTGACGCTAGATATCGACATATCAGCCAATACCCCCCCCACACACACACACACCCACACACACAAAATATGGGATCTACTGAAATTGAAAATACAGGGGTCATTATTAAGTTTCCAGTAATGTATTTCACAAACTAGGTCGTAACTTAATGTGGAGACACTTCTCGACTCCACACCTCCATCTTCTCAGTGGTGCAGCAGGCACTGCTGAGAGTTTTGTAAACAATGGAGTCACACTGCTGGACAAACTTTTAATTCTAGTACCCCAAGCATCTTTTTTCTGCATTATGTTGTTTAAAAAAAAACACAGCATACATGCCAATATCCATAAATCAGTGAATGGCTGATATCTATATCAGTCAGGCAGGAGAAGGGGAAGAATAGATCCTACACTTTGTTTTTGCACATATTCATAAATCACATATCTGCTCTATGAGTACCGTCTGTTTACAAAGCCATCATGATGCAGACATCCATGTTTCTAGAAAGGCAAATGTGAAGTCTGTGACTAAAGGCAAGCACGACATTAATATGCCATTCGTGTGCATATAACAAGAAAAACACAAAGAACAAACGGCCTGTGAATAAATGTTCAGAACTATGAAAAAGCATGTGCACCACAAAGGACTTTTCCTTTGTTGAGAGTTTTTACATATTTAACATTATTCTACAAAAGGTAATGAGCCCTCTTTGTTATAAAACAATGGACAGCTAGCTAAGAAAAAACAAAAAACAGCACACATGATAACTCCGGCGGCCAGTGGGAGGGCGATACATCACTGCCTTAGGCAATATTAAAAAGGAGTAGTTTGACATTTGACACTGGGATAGGCACTTCTCACCTCCATGCAGTCAGATGAGGAGGTAGATAACACACTTGTGCTTACATTAAATAAGGAACTACAAGCAGCAGCCAATCAGTTCAGCATTAAAGCCAGAAATGAGTAACAGCTAGCCTCAAACTTAACCCCCCAGAAAAATCCCAGTTTTGTGCAAAACCCCAGAAAAGATTGTGTGAATTAGTGAATTTAGAGGTGCAGTTTGCCACATTAAGACAGCCAACGCAGTTACTCTCCTTCTGCAGCCTTCACACCAAGCTAATCTAATCAGCTGCCAGATTCATATTTAGTGTACACGTGTGTTAATCTACTTATGCAACTCAGAGCAAAGAGTGAGGGAAAGCGCACTGACAAATGTTAAACTACTCCTTTCAAAAGGGTAACCATCTGTGTCCACAGTGTTACTCTTAATACAGCCAAGTCCTAGCGTTAACAAGTTCCCTACGGTTTGTAGCAGCCGTACAAAAAGCTCTGGATTACAGTTTGATATGTCTCTTTTTTCTTTACCTTGCAATGATTAATGACAGTTTGTAGTGTTGATTGCATGTCTACTCTTCAGAAGTCCCAGCTAATGCTAGAACTGCTTTTACACTTTCACAACGCTTTCCGTGGTGAAGGCATTGAAATGGTTCTGGGAGACAAGCAGAATAATAAGATCTGAGGTTCGAATCAGAGAGCTGACAAAGCCACAGTAAAAATAGAAAAAGTACTAAGAGTTCAACTTCAATAGTGCACAAATTGTTGCAGGTAATCATGTCAGTCTCTGGCAGTCTGCTTTAACTGCTAAAACTAATATCAGAGACTGACAATAGCATGACAGTAAGATCTCTCAAAAGGGGCCTAAAGATAGAAACTGTTAACCGTCATCAGGAGCGAGAAAAGAAAGAGGAAGAGCGATTATAGAACAGTGAGCGCTTTTCAAGTTTGAAGGATGAATTGATTGATGTGGCGAGGCGGCACTACAGCTCAACTGACAGAAATATGTAAACTTGTATTCTATTCTTCATTAAAAGGAGTTAGTAGGTGGGGAGGAGGTGAAGGGTTGGGGAAGGGTATGTGGAGAGAAGGAGGAGTTCAAGGGTTAGTTGATGGGTTTGATTGAGCTTGTGATTTTTTGTTTTTTTTTAATGTCAAGGACCATGTGTTCGTGGAACCCTTTGGGGAAGCCCATTGTGAGAGGGTCGGTCTTGGTTGTGAGAGGATGTGGAGGAATGCGAGGGACCTCTTGAGTTGTTAGAGTGCTGTGATGTAGGCCCAGAGGAGGCACCATCATTCTGATGGCGGTGGTTTGCACGACCAGCGTTCCTGTCATTGTAGGAACCACCGTTATACCGCTGACCACCTGTGTGATAACCTTGTCCGTGGAAGGTACGCCTGTTTCCTTGGAAAATCTGAGGGGGAGAGTTTAAAGTTTGTCAGTGAAGTAAACCAGCATTTGGTCTAATGTCTGACAAACTACAGCTTTCCAGCTGACCTGTTTGGCTGGTGGAGGACGGGTTTCACTTGGGTGGTTGCTCTGGATCTGGGTAGGAGCAGGCGTCTCCGGCAGGGTGGGGCTGGCGACAGAAGATGATGTGGAGCTACAGCGGGATCGGTTTGAGTAGCCTGTACGTGGGTGGTAAACTGTGAGAAAATCGACATAGTGAGTCAACACTCAGCGGAAACCTCTAGGGCTCAAAGATGAAGCAAATGCAGAAGTGCCAAAATCTACATTTCCTCTAATGGTTACTTAAAACTAAGTCAATGGCAGCATCAAAAAACACATTTACACCCTGTTATAGAAACCATTTGGGATCTATTAATAGTTTTCCTTTTGAAAAGATATTTAAAGTGACTCATTTTTTTCTAACTGTTGAGACTTACATTTACAGGTGTGTCTTAAAACAGGAAATTGCAGCTAATAGGCCTCACCTATGCCAGTGACAGTCACTGAACTGGACCACTCCACTGTGTTTGTTTTTTGGAGTACTTTAATGCCTTATCTAATTATTAACATGGCTTGCTGTGAGGTTTTTAAAAAAAAACCAAAAAAAAAAACCCTCCCACAAGTTTATGCCTTAATTTTGGTGAGTGAAATTCTAGTATTTATATTTCTGTAACACTAATGAACATCGAACATCATGAATGATCTGTCCCAGTGCATTGCACTTGTACAGTTTATGAATACAACTTGTTAACAAAGCTTTTACAAGCCTTAGTCATCAGTCACAGAGGCATGAATGGTCAGTGACCCCAAGTGACCACTGCTTACTAGGGAAAGAAAAGTGCATTCTTAACAAATTAGAGAGTGGTTACCAATTGGTGAAAACAGTTGCAAAGAGGAGGCTTCACCAGAAATCTGGTTACTATGATTTCGGTTGCTAGTAGATTGCCATGATGGATTTCCAGCTTGTCTGCAAACGCTGTAAACTTTTCACTGAGCTGTAGTAAAACTTGGAAAAAGTGCAATGTGATTAAAGAAACAGCAGCATTCACCTTCAAAGTAAAAGTTTTGCCTTATCTCCAAACTAGACGTTTCATAAGGAGAAACCTTTGCTTTTCTCTGGGGAGAACATTCAGCTGTTGCACTTCTTAAAGTTTCACTACCACTTGGTGAGTAGTTGTAGAGCATTTTACAGACGTTATACAAATTACAAAAAACTGCAATTTGCACAGTGAAACTGCAACAAACTGCTAGCAACCAAAGTGGTCACGAGGTGGTTTCAGTGCAGCACCTCTTTCTGACTAATTTCACCCACCAACAGCAACCACTTGCCAGCAAGTTAGGCAATACGTTTCCTAGTTACCAGAGGTTGTCAGGTGGTCACCATCTGGTCTTGCACAGGCCTGTGTGACTGGGCTCTAAGGTGACAACTTAACACTGTACCAGTGGTCTAAATATGGCAAATTCTGACAGCACAAAACACGGCAGTAGCAAAAACACCAAGTTGAGTCTTCAAAAGGTGAAATCCAAAACCTGTACGTGAAGTCATGGTGTCTACGTCCCTCTGTTAAATATAGGCTATGGTCAAAAATGGTAAACCAAGCAACCTTTCTCACCAAGCAGAAAAAAAGTGTGCTAATTGCATAAAATAAAGTGTTAAAAACTTGTTTTAGACAGATCTACATTAGAGGCATTCTCAGAACCTTAAATAGCATGAAATCACAATTTTTGGGTTAAGATTTTAGAGTCAGATAAGACTGCTTAAAGAGTGCTCTGATTAGCACAGTCACGGTCAAAATACAAATAAACCAAATGTCTGACATGATGGGACAGCAGCTTCTGCAGACCGGTCCGAGTATGCAGAGACCAAGAAAGAAAAAAAGAACACGAACAAACCTCTTTCTCCCTCATAACAGCCAACTTGACATCCTCCTCTTCAGAGGTTAATTAATAAACAGAGCTGCTAACAATATTATCAAAGCTTCCTTATTGCTCCACTATAGTGTCCAACCATAAAAATAGCGCTCTGCTCATTCAGTACTGCATGCTTGCTATATCATAATAATTACTGCTTTAGTCATTTCTAGCCTGCTGGTCTTGTATTTTGTGATTTAAGGAAAGGTGTGTCCCAGTCGAGCGTGAGGCATAGCTGAACACAGGTCAGTAAGAGAAATAAATGAGATGACTTTGATACTGTACCTGATCCAAACCCTGCAATGCTCGTCTTCAGCGGTTCAAGATCAAATGTAAATCTTAGAGCTTTTCCAAGGTCCTCATCGTATTTACGCTCGCTCACAAAGTGCTGCAAATAAAAACATAAATAAATAAAAGTCAGGGAAAAAACCCACCCACGTTGTGTCTCAAAATTTGTTGTTTTCATCTCTACTTTTGTAAGCATAAGTAGGAGAATTTGCCTTGAGTTGTAGATTAATTAAAAATAAACACCAATTTCCCATTCAGTAGGTTATGAAATAAAACACCAAGTCAAACTGAGATACTGAAAGACAGCATCAAAGTGGAGCAGCTGTGCTGTGCAGGTACCTTGATGTCTGCACGCAGTTCAGTCAGCTGCTCCTCTGACATGGATGCCGACTTATCTGTCAGCCGCCGGAGCTCCTCGGCTCTCTTCTGCCGGGCGTCCAAGATCATCACTGAAACGTAGCAGCAAAAATATGAACAGATGTGAAAGAATTTAAGGAGGGTTTTTATTATGCAGTCAAATGTCTGCCTGTATTATGTCTTCCACACATTTAAGCAAAAGTTTAAAAACAGAGCTGCACCTAAAGTGATTCTGAGCTGTTAAACTCTAAACTTTAAATTAGGAGGAACATTTCAGTTAGTCAGTCCAAAGTTGGCTGCATTAGCGCTCACTGTGAGACACGTCCAGCAGCCAATTTGGAAATTTGGCAGACAAAATAAGTCTGAGGCCACCCACTACTTTAAAAACTGTGCCTTCTCTTAAAGACAAACTGTCCTGTGTGTTAGGAAGCAAAGACAAGACAGAATTTCCTTTCTTCAAAAAGTAAAAATACATTCAAAATCGACCCTCTTCTTTTGCTTAAGTTTAAAATAAAGAGGTCTCGTAATCTTTCAGTTTCATCTAAATACTCATCACTCCGTCAGTTTGTGAAATGCAGCCAATCAAAAGAACAGCATCTTAAAGAGGAAGGGATGGGAACTAAAACAGGTTGTTTCAGGTAATGATAACCTGAGAGACAGCACCAGGGCCCAGTATAAGACAAAAGGGATGATAATGAACAATGACTCATCCAAAGCTGCTCTACTAGAATCAAAGAACAAAATATGAAGCTCAAACTAGAATAATGGGTCGCCCTGCAGAAAAATGCAATTGGTCCCCAGTTCAAAGAAAATGACAAAGATTTCAGTTGAGGGCCCATTATGATGGCTGCCAACTGTGACCTCACCACAACCCTGACTCCATTCATACTGGTGCTGAGGTATGGCAGTATTCACCTGCAATACTGTCTTTAACAATAGGCGTCACCACTCACATCTCCACTCACTCTACATAAACGCTGGTCTAAATCTCTGAGCTTCTGCACTAATACAGCTTCTTATTTGATCAACTGTTCCCTTTATCGGTCACCACAACGGACCATCTGCGCACATCCCACCCCCAGAATTCTCTTCTGTGAGAAAAATAACATACCTCTGAAGACATGTCATCTCTTCATATCTTCACCAAACACAAAATTTCTCAGTACAGTCTCTTTTTCTATTGTTTGGCAGCTCCATATTGAACATCCTTTCCCCCCCAATATATCTATTATCCCTCCTCTGAACATGCTTAAACTATCTTAGCCTTGCTTTTCTAATTTTCTCTCTAAACTGCTCAATCTGCCCAACCTGGTGGTCACCATCAGTGAAAATCTTACACGCTGCCACTGGTTAGTGCTATCAGCAGGTGTTCACTACCATCTTGTTAACATTCTCCTTCACTTTCTGCTATACTTCTGTCACAAATCACCTCTGACGTTCTTCTCCACCTACTCCATCCAGTCCACCCTGTTCATTGCTTTGAATGACTAGTACAGGTACTTAAACTTGTCCACCTCTGCTCATTGTATCTTAACTACATCTAATAACTTTCATTTCTCTTTTCTCCAAAGCATAGGCTGAAAACACATACCCACACCTCTCCAGGCTCTCTTCCACCTCCACCTCACCAGCTTTCTTTAGATCCAAAAAGACAGTGCAAACATTGCATCTGCACTGGCCTTTCTCAGGATGAAGCCATACTGCTCCTTGTTAATTGTCACTAGCCTACTTAATCTAGCTTCAAAAATTCCTTCCCACATCTCTGTGGTATGGCTCACCAGTTTTATCCCTCTGTAGTTATTACTGTTCTGCACATCACCCTTGTTCTTGAAAATCAGTACCAGTACAGTTCCATTCCTCAGGCATGCTCTCACTCTCCAAGATTCTGTTAACCTACTTAATACTACTACTACTAATATCATCATCATCATCATCATCTACTAACTCCATAGCCCCTTTCTCCTAAATATCTCCATGCCTCCACAGGTATATCGCCTGATCCAGCTTTCTTTCCACTCATCATCATCTTCTTGGCTGTCCTCACTTCATTCTCATCTGAACTCCCTTACCCAACTTTCCTCCATCCAGCCTCCTCTGTCATTTTCTTCATTCAGAAGGTCTTCAAAGTCCTTCCATCTTCTCAACATAGTCTGCTCACTTGTTAGCACATTTCAATCTCTATCCTTAATCACTTTAACCTTTCCCAATCCTTTCTAGCTTGCTCTCGCTACTTAGTCAATTGATACAAGTCTTTTCCTCTCCTTCCTTAGTGTCCAATCACGGCTGTAAAAGCAACAATCATACACCTGTGTTTTCAACAAGCACATGACATGTCCCACTCAGACTAATCTTAAAGAGGACATCTGAAGTACCCACTGGTCCTTAGCACTACTGATACAGTCCCACAGCCAGGAAAGAGGTTTAACAAATACTTATTTTTTTCTCTATTTGAAACATATAATCTAAAATAAATATACATATATATTATCAGTTGTATCACTTTCTCCTGAAGGAAGAGATTCTTAGAGTAAAGTAACTTTTGAGAAAACCTGGCTTTTGTAACATCGGATGAGGACTAGAGTTTCTTTGCTTTTCTCTCAATTCACCACACGCCTTGCACAAAGACAGCATTGAGTCTCCCTTGACACCTGACACTATTCACTTTTTCCAGGCCTGGAACACACAACACTCTACACTGAGAGGACAGAATAAGAGAGAATGGCCTAGTTGTACAAATATGAGGCCTACATTGTACGTACACACGCACGCACGCTCTAGGTGTATCAGGACCTTAAGGCAACACTGCAGTTTAGAAGAAACTGGGACTTGCTGTTCCATAAGATTTCTTTTACAACCTCCAGAAGTGATTTAGGTCAGAGTCTTGGGGCCTTTGAGTCAGGTGATCATATCATGAGAAGAACACAAGCAGCTGCAGGGTGGTATGTGACAAGCATACTGGAAAATACAATACTTACTGGCATCAGCTTTCACTTTGTCCATTTCTGCCAGCAGAGTCACCTCTCTGTCCATTAAACTAGAAAAATAAAGAAAAGAGGGTAAACTTTCTAGAATCTTCTCTAAAACAAGATTGTGCATGCCGACTTTGCACTAATATTGCAGCAAAATACCAATATGGTTAAACAATAAGACCACTGGGGACAGCAGACTTCTGCCAAGGCTGAAAATTCCTCCACACCATGCACAAATTAAGCCAGAAGGATATTGGAATATTGATTAGTTTAATATTTTAAGAACATCAATAATGATTATTTTTATCACTTTAATTCAGCATACATTTATAGAGACACCAAAGGAAATGCACAATTTTGACTCCTCTCATGGTGAAGAATAGTTTCCAAAATTCCTGGATCCAGACTCCAAAAGTTGATTACTTCTAAACTGGACAAAGCTCCACCTCTGAGAAAATATCCATGTAAATCTGTTCATGACTGAGTAATCTTGCTAGACAACAAATAACCCGAACCTGAGAACACAACTGCTGGCATAAACGCTTCAGTCTTGATGGGATAACACATTTACTGGAGTTTGAGCTTTACACTCAGGACATCTCGCTCCGTTCTCTGTAGCATTACAGAGTCAGCCGTTACGTAGATGGCCATCTTGTATGCCTCAAAGGTTGCTGTGAGATACTAACGAGAATTAGACTACACCCATGGCAAACTTTGAGTGTCTGAGTAATGATGATAGATGGTATCATCATTACTCATAATAAAACGCACAAAGCAAATATGGAAATTAAAATTCTTGTCCACACTTGTAAATCTAATTATACCGCTTCAGTTTTGTTTCTCAGCTGATGGTTGTTCACAGATTACAAATAAAAGAAAGCCACAATGTAGCTTTTCTTTCTAAAAAGCTGAAATACGACACAGTGGTGCTTATCATCCATTTTCGACAATAACCAACTACCTGCTTTTGTACCGGCTGCCTCAATACAATCTTCTAGTTTACTGACAATAAAACAAAAAATTTTTTCATGAGTGTTTCACAGAAGTGGAAGTCTTAGGCACGGAATTGAAGTAAGAGCCTCTTAAGAGTTGTAGGTGTTGAACAATAACAAACCGATCTGTCTTTTATCTTTGTTAAAGTGAATAACTGTTAAAAGTTTTATAAGTCAGTGGCAGCAGTGGTCTGGAGCCAAGAGTGGAGCTGAATGGATATCCTCACAGTCAACCACAGCATCAGGTTTCAGCTTTTGAAAGATGAACAATGGCTGCGCTCTATGAGAATTTATAAGGAATACACTTTATCAACGTGCAAATGTTTCAGTTAATCTTTTTGCTTTGCCGAGTTAGACCTAATAACCTGAGGTTTTGTAGACGATACTCTGTAATTGCCAGCTTGGACTAAACCCAGATAATCTTCAACCAATTAGTTATTAGTGAGCTCATAATCTACTGCCAGCTACTTCAGCATTTACTAAAGTCTCATGAGAATGATCACGACAGTAATCTTATCCAGATGAATTATTAGGGGCTTAACGGGCATGGATTTTTCTTCTTGCTCAGACCAGCAGTACCTATGAAGTTTGTAAGCCATTTAAAGAACACCCTAAAGTAGACAAACCACTAAAACTGGACAATTAAACTGGTTTGTAAATCCAGTTAACATGAACTGTATGCCTAATGTGAAAAAAAAAATAAAAATTCAACTGCAAGTGTAAATCCAGGGATTAAAGACAAATTACTACAATGAAATAATATGTAAAATATTTAGTTTGTTATTATCTTTAATAAAGTGTTCTAAATCAGTCTTTTTTTCTGCACACACCAGAGGCTCTATGAAAGCAATCCAAGGTTCAACACATGGACCTCTTTTACTATTATGCAAAGTTGCACCACCAAGAAGGACAAAGGTAACTGAGCAGCACCTATAAAAATGCAATTATGTCTGAACTGCTTTAGTGAACATGCAACACAAATCTGAGAAATCAAATTGGAACAAAGATCTATTTTTACATTCTTCTTTGCTTTTCTGAAACAATTTTCTTCTTAATGCATCTCTTGTCACGGTCTATTTAGACTCAAAGATTCTAAATTATTTCAGGGTTGTCTTACGAATATAGAGGCTTGTTGACACTGTCACAGGAGTGACAATTATTTCCTGATTTGTTTCTACTCACTTACTTTAAAAAAAAAAAAAAACCCAACAAAAAACCCCACTGTGGGTCCTGTTTAGCAAGACAAAGTTTAAAGAAGTTCACACAAAATTAAAAGCAGTGTTTTTACAACTTCAGACATTAATTTTAGATCAAACTACCTGAGACATCTGTAGAGACCTGCAGACTAGCTTTATGATTTTATGTTATTTGGAAGTAGTGTTTATAAATATACTATTAACAGCACAGAATATTGTCAATATAATATCAATATACTTTTTGATTGTTAAATGAAAAAACAATTTTACTTCAACATCAACTGTATGACAACAGGCAGATTTAAAATGAATTCCCATACCAGCTCTGTAGTTCAGCAAATGTCTGCTTCATCCTCTTTACTGAGGAGTCCATCTCCTCCTTGACCACCATCCTGTAGCGAGTCAGTGATGCAGTACATCTCTGCAGGTCCTTCACAGAGCGATCAATGTTGGAAGCTGAGAAGGAGAGAATAAGGAAAAGTTAAGCAAGAGTTTTGGGGCTATGACACATTTGTTTTCATGTTACCTTTGCCCTTGGTTGTGAGGCACAAAGAAACAATATGGATAGAATAAAATGGGCTTCTGGAAATAAGAGCCATGTCTAACCCATCTTCTTTACTCCTGATGATCCTTGCTCATCTGTGTTAGATGCTAATGAGGCAGGGGGATGATATGAATTTGAGTTTGGCCTTTGTCGTGACTTATTGCCTCTGGGAGCCTGGTGATTTCTTCCTCCTGGCTGAGAGGTGGGACTTGGAGCACTACCTTGACTTTCTGCTTCTGCACCTGTGAGAAAACAAAGTACTTGTCAGGACACAAAGTAAATAATTATAAAACTACCCTCATGTGAAGAAGCAGAATCTATTAGGGACAAGGTTCTTGGTATTTTCTATTTGTAGTACGCTTGTAGCACTTGCTGCACTGGTTTCTGACAGCATTTGAGCATGCTTTGGTTGCATGCAACTCTTATGAAGGGAAATGAGGGATGGCATTCACCAAAGCACACTGAAAGACCTCTGGATATAATTTGATTAAGAATTCTCTCTTTAAGATTTATTTGCATTTGTACCAACGACCAGCACACGGAAACAGTCAAATGGGCCTGAAGAGCTTGTGGCTAAATCATAAATAAAATAAAATAGCAAGTTGCCCACTCAGGCTAAGTCAGCAGACCATGTGGTTCACTTTAAAAGTTAACTCCCCCCACAAAAAAAACTGCCTAGTCACACATTTCAGGAGGACATTTTTAAACCACTAAGATTACAAGTACACACTTCCCCACTGAACTTTGATTTTGAATAGATAACACCAAATTAATTTCTTCAAGTTAAGTAATAAATAACTCTTTACCAGCATGTAGCAACAGGCTCTGCTCTAATCTAAGTTTCATTGATAAAAATCTAATGAGACTTTCACACTGTGTCCTTGGCTCACTTAAGGTAACCTTCCTGCAGTTAAGTCATATAACAAAAATATTTGTCCAGGAACAGATTTACTTTAAAGGGTCAAATAAGGTTCAGGTTGTAAGAGCAGCAATTTGCATGGCCATAAATTACTCTATCCATCCATCACATTTTAGCCGAACAGTTGCATTTACCGGTGGTTTCGGATGTAGCAGGTTCAGAGTCCAGCTCGGCTGCATCCAGGGAGGCAGAGTCCAAGTGTTCACTCAGCGAATCAAGAGACTCTCCGTCCATTACTGAGCCGTTGGCATGAAAGCCATTCAGCTCGTCCTTGCCCTCTTCGGGCGATGTGGCCTCAGGTGGAGCAGGTTCTGCTGGGGCTTCTGGCTGAGGTTTGGGCTTCTTTTTCTTCTTGGGCTGAACAGTAGGATATCAGTGTTAGCCTTCTTTTTTTTTTTTTTAAATCATCTTTTTAGTATCAGTGCAGTGATATCAACTAATTCAGTGCATGCAGAAAAGAGAAAGCTTTGATTTAAATGAAAATTAAGCTTTTGGCAGAAGAATTTACTAAACAAATCCATGCATTTTAGAACCAATGAGAGCAGATTAAAATGTCATCAATGATTTGAAACTAAATCTTTTACTAAGAAACAGTGACATAAATATGCCAACTCAACAAAGAGATGTTTAAGACGTAGGCTTTGTGGTTCTCACCTTCTTTTTTCCAGTGACATTCCACTCCTTCAGGATCTCAGCTGCACTGCCTGCGGTGTAAACCAAACAATGATGACGAAGGTACACGCTGACACATGGCAGATTGAAAATCTTGTAATACCATCTGAACATATGAATGCCTCGAGGCGTTGTTTAGACACGGCTAACTAAGGAAACAAAAGAGTAGTCTGACGTAGAGACACAACGCTCCTTTGCTATAATTAAACCTGCCAAACCAAAGGCATGCAAATGATATGCAACTACAGAATGCAAAGCATGGCAGGCATGATGGTGAAAACAATTTAAGGTTAAAGAAAAAAAAAAAAAAAAAGTTCAGTGTACATGTTAACATGTACACTGTAATTACAGGACAGTTCAAAGAAATCATTAAAGGCACAGAATTACAGTGAAATTCATGCCCACGACCTGTGTATGTAAACACAACTCTACTTGTGGAGTGAGTGAAGTAAGCTCCATTAAATACCAAATTACAAATTCACTTTTACAGAAATATCCAGTCACACAACATCACAGTAACTTTCAGAGATTTGGTGTCCTCATACCTTCTAAAAAAGCCTGCACGGCCTTATCGACGCAGTTCTCAAAATGCTGTAACACCAGCACAATCTCATTGTTGCTTTTGTTGGGGACAACCGCCCTGACAGCACTGATCTGTGAAGCATAGTGAACATTAGCACTGACAAGCATAAGGGCCCTCAAACATTTACTGAAAATACACTTTAAGTAAGAAGTGGCTGTAGGACATGAATGCATACTCTTAATAATACACTATTAATGTAGAAATATACAAAGCTTTCATTTTGGTCAGTGAAAGAATGACACTCCATGGCAACTTTAGTCAATACAACTGTTCGACTGGTTCGAAAATTCGACTGTTAATGCAACTATATAATCAGACAAGCATATGATGCATGTAGACAAGGTCAAGACAACCTGTTGAAGTTTAAGCTGAGCATCAGAATGAGGAAGAAAGGTGACTTAGGAGAAGTGTGGTGAATGGTTCCTGAAATCATCTGAAACTGGTTTCTTCAACGTGACAATTAGTTCACTGCACTCAAAAAGCCTCCACAGTCAGCATAACGCAATCATGGATCTAAATCTAAACAAACACCAGAATCTGTCTGATGCAATCATGCTGATATGGACCAAAACCTGTAAGGAATGTTTCCAGCACCTTGCTGAACCAATACCACAAAGAATTAAAGTAGGGACTACCAAGTGGCCAGTGAGTGTATATATCGGACACTTTAATGAAATATTTTTGCTTTTCACCATTTAATTTAACAAAAATGTAAAATAATTTTTGGGATCCTATATAAAACTCCCCAGAACTGTTAAATTATAGTTTAACAGCTTTAAAGATGCTTCCTGGCATGGGATTAAGTGATACATACCTATATAGCGCTCATTTTTCAAGATAAGATATCTGTTAAGCTGGTGAATCTGATTTTTGCTCTACTTCAACATAAATCATGCTCTGACAATTTGCCCTCTCATGTTTACTGTCGCCAAAAAGCTACTTTCCAGGAACCTGCTGTACACATCTCACAGTAAATGAAACTGAATGTCAAGCTTTAGAAGCGTCCAACTTTGGCAGCAGATAAGAATCCAATGGTTAGAGATGGGAATAGAGAACTAGTTTGAGATAGTACAATCCATCAAAATCATGCCTCCAATGTTATCAGTTCTATTTATCAATGCTGACATGCTATTTTTGATCTACTGCAAGACAGTGACGTCAAGCTCATAGCACTGACTCACATGCAGGTCTACAGATATCTGTTTACTCAGGTATTTGCATTTTGTTTCAGTTGAGCTTTTATGCAGTGTACATTATCTTTAAATTAATATAAAGCTCATAACTGTGTTCAATTATTGTGCCGATTTTTGCTGAAGAAAGAAAAAAAAGACGCAATTTCAGCAATTTAAAACCTCGTGTAATCTCTTGAATGTATTTTGTGATTCTTCTATAATTTCATTCTAATCTTAATTCCATCTACAGCCATATCCACAAATAAGAACAAATATTTTGCAATTTGATGTTTCAGATTAAGGCCTCCAAAAAAAAAAAAAAAAAAAAAAAAAAGGAAAAAAAAAAGAAAGAAAATTGCAGCACTACTCCTGAGGAGTGTGTAAATTTCTTACCTTCTCCTTCATCCTCTCAGCCGTTCCACCCTGGGACATGACCATTTTTGAACGGGTATCAAACACCACTCCGGATGTATCTGGAAAAATATAGTAGAAACTCAACTGCATTGTCCATTTAACCCTTCAATTGTACTTGCAAACCTCTGTAGAGCATCATTTGCAAAACAAAACCACCAGCAGACATCTTTAGAGATTTCCTGGAAAAAAACAAAAAAAACAAAAAAAAAAAACAAAGTTGCTGGCCACCTTTATAAATATACTAATCAGGTTACAGCAGCAGAATTATTATTGTGAAACAGACATGTGACGTGACATGTTAATCTACATGATAAAAAACAAAATATTTACATATGAAATTGAGAAAATAGATTTTGCTTCCTGTATGCAAATAAACAAATATGAAAAATGAAGATGCCAGCCTCACAGGACTGTGGAGGTGGAACGATGTGTTATTTAAGCATGTAAGCACAACTACTTCAGATACAAGCACAAAGGAAGTGCTTAAAAAAAAAGAAAAAAGAAGACTTCATCACATCTGTGCCTGAACTGTCTGGAACACGGATCTCATTTTAATGACTAATAACCAATGATAGCATCCAAAAAGACATTCTTTCAAGAAGGAAAAACTTCAGAGTTTCTTCTAGCAGGAGGAGAATAAATCTGGCTCACTGAGACAAGCAGCTGAGTCAAGGTAAAATGAGATCTCTTCCTGTAAGGTCAGATGACACTAATCTTTAAAATGATAAACAAAAGGCCTTCAGCTGAATGCGAAGAGTCAGAGTGAAGTCCACAGTTAATCTCTAGCCATTGAAAGACACAAGAGGGAGGAAACTGCTGAGCCCTTGTAAAAGTTGTTTTTCTCATGCATGGAAGTAGGTTAATGTCACTGTAAATATCCACAGCTCCAATTCGCTGTAAAAGTACAGCCATCTGCACATACTTTCAGGACAACTCCATTAGATTCTAGCTGAAAACAATCATGCATACATTTATTTGTTGAATAATTTATTGCTGTGACCCATCTGTAACTCAATTCTTGTGCACCATATAGAGATACAGTATTGTGCAAAAGTATTGCACCATCCTTCGTGTCCCTTTTGCTAGGGAAATGGACATAGCAATTCGTTGAAACGGGTACATGGAAATGCAGTATAAAGGCTATATCGTATTGAGAGAAAGTCAGCACTAGCATGACCACCTTTATTGTGTAACACAGTCTGAACTCTTTTAGAGAAGGTTTGTTTTTGTTTTTTTAAGTCATCTTCAGGAATAGTTCTCCAGGCTTCATGAAAGACAAAGCTCTTGTCTGGATGTTGTGATCAATTCTCTATCAAATAGATTCCACACTGCTTCAATAATGTTGAGGTCTGGGGTTGTTTTTGTATCCAGGTATCCTTTTTACAGCATTAACAACATCTTTGATCATTGTGTTGCTGAAGAATGAAGCTACTACCAATCAGATGCTTTCCAGACGGCATCGTATGACGTTTCAAAAACTGATTGTACTTTTCTGCATTCGTAAGTCCAATTTTGAAAAGGTCCCCAACACCACTGGCTGAAATGTAGCCCCAAAACGTTACAGAACCTCAATTGTGTTTTACAGATGGCTAATGATGATTATTTGAACCAAAACTTTCAAATTTGAATTCATCAGTCTATAAGACGTGTAATTTGCTATACATCAGCTGTTTCTCTGCCATTTTCCTTCCTTAAGAATGGCTTCTTAACAGCCACCCTTTTACTGAGACCATTTCTGTCGTTGATACTGTTCATCTGCTGTAGATAGATTTTTTTAATGCCTCCCAGTTCTTTTGACATCTGCTTCTCAAGTTTCCTCATTTTCAAAAAAAAAAAAAATTTTAAAAGAAGAACACTCCTGAGATATGCCAAGGTTTAAGCTAATAGCACAAAATCACCTCGGTGGTGAAAAAAAACATCTTAAATGTGTTATCCTTGGCATTTTTCAAGGACTGAACTAAACAATGGGAACAAATGATGTGCTTTTGCAACAGGCTGCTAGTAAAAAAAAGTTCCTAAAGATGCAATATAAAATTGGTTCTTTGCAAACCTTTTCTGGTATATGTGGACACAACACTGGTTCCTCCTTTCAGATAAGCACCTTTTAATGCTTGATTCATATGACAGTGTTAAGTGGCTTGAAAAACAAACACATCATTCCTCTGAAAATTGTCAGGTAGAAAGACTTAACTGAAAACGGGTGAAAAAGCAGTCATTGTCCAAAGAAAAAGTTTGAAAGACCTTCAGAAAACCTGGAGAGCTATTCCTGAAAACCACTTTAAAATAAATAACAAAGTCTGGTTCCTTGGAAGAAAACTATAAAGATATGTGATTAAATCAAGAACTTTCCAAGTACTTTACAATAAATTACATTACATATTTTGTCTTAACCCTTACCTTTTTGGCTGTTTTTCTTTGCCATGTTGTCACACAGAAGTATCCAAGAAAATCTCTGCTGTTTATTTTCTACAGTGTATACTCCTTCAAATATATTCAAGCTGATGCAGAGCTAACAGGTCCAAATGTGACAAAACTTTCAGTTGGAGTTGCTTTCGGTAGGGAAGAGCTCAATGAGGCTCAGAGCTGGCAGAAGGGTTGGAAGAACAAGGTTCAGATCCAGACCGTCACCATTCAGTCAAAGATTTAAGTTTTCCCCTTTTCCTCTACCCTCACTAAATCTGTGGAATGAAAGAAAAAGAACAACTCAGAACTAGTGATAAAGAAGTGGTTTCGTGTCAGTATCTAAATGTAGGAATAATAAAATACATTAAAAAAAAATAAATTAAAAAAAAAAAAAAAGGAAACCCCAACTGTGGTCATGCTGTACCAAGTAAAAATGCAGATACCACCATTCCCTTTTCGATGATTTGAGGAAAAAAAAAAGAAAAGAAAAAAAAAGAATGCAAACTAAATCCATTTCCTCTGGCTATGAAATATGAATGAAAAACAGATTTCAATAAATTGTCTGTCTGGCGGAGAGTCCTCAAGAAAAATAAATAAATAAATAAAAATCTGCAGTTCATATTGTCCTTGGCAGAAAAGCTGCATATAGTTGGGAAGAAAAGTTTAGCAGGGTTTCAGATTAACACATTTTTAGGGGTATTTCCTTTTTCTCGGTTGTCTACAGGAGTGGTGGGTGATAATGCTGTGCTGGCAATGGTGTTGCAGTGTCCAGCGTTTGATTGGGCTGGTGACAACTGTGTGCAAATATCTGAAAGTGTATTTTAAAAAAAAAAAATTTGTGTGTGTGATTTAAAACTACTTTGAATATTCTAAGTTTTCTGGCAGTCTCTATGACGGCTACACTGGGTCTGAAGTCTAAAATGACTTTTTTCTCCTTTTCTTTTTTAAAATACCTTTGGACACTTTTACAACTTATTTTCTTTACTGGAAATTAAACAGGAAGAATAAGAGTCGGTGATGTCAGAAATTACATAAGGTTTGGTTTTGGTATAATGACATGGGTTCTTAATTTAGACAAAACTACCGAAAGTACAATTTTGCAATTTCTTCATTGTGGGGAAAAAAAAGCATCTGCAAATCCCTATTACACTCTTGGAAATTTTACAGTCATCATGCTTAGTAATCAATATAGCAGACACATTCTCTTGCCCGTCTCACTGCTGCTTTATGTGAACTTTATTTAATTATGCCCACTCTAGCCTTAAAATTGCTTCAGTCAGACCTCCAGTAGTCTGGATCCAGTTTTATGGACCAGCTGTTTGTAGCTTATAGGTTTCCCTTTCTGATCCTGGTTCACCAGAAACGGAAACTTAAAAGGCTGTAGAAGCCAACACCCTCTTGATTAGGACTTGGCATGCCATAGTCCCAGTTCCACCACACCTTTACAGACGTCAAACTCACATATACACGCACGATCAACAAGTGACACTGCACAAGCCACTCATGCAAAGGCACCGAGATGTACTGTGTTTATCAAGAGGGATGGTTCTCCAGCGTTCAAGAATGCCAGGTGCACTCCTGTTGAGTGATGCCATTAAGAAGAAAATGCCAACACAGCACTCATGACGTAAAAAAGTTTGGGCTTCAAGGAAGGTACATGCGTGTGTGGCAGATTTAAGAGGAAAAGCACTGATAAACAACACACACACAATCCAATCACCAGGTAGTTTTGTTTTTTATTTTTTATTTTTTTTTCTTTGCTGTAATTTAATCTCTGTTGAATTGCTGCCAGAGAAGCCAGTGATCGCTAGGTTCACAGTTAATTAAACCTGTCGGGCATGACTAGAAAACCTAGACTACCTCCTTTAATTATAAGACGTTAAGTGTAGCTGGCTAATCAGGGAGAGAGATATAAATACCCCCTCATCCGTTGCTGCATCTTAACTAGCATCTTGCATTATATTCCAGCTCAAAGCCTGAGTAATAAGGATCGCTACAGAAGCGGAAAGGCTTCCCCACAACCCCGAAAAACATCCCAATCTTTTGTGAAAGGACCTTCACGACAAAGATCGGCCATAAAAAAAACCCCGAACTTCGCGTTTATTGTAGCGGAACGATCCGCTCAATTCAGCCTGTTATGTAATGTCACTGTTTTATTTGTTCGCTTTTAATGAATATCTACGCATTTTTGCAAACTCTTGACTGAAAGCAACTTGCACAATGGGGGTCTCGGTCCAGTCTTTCATCAGAGAGCAGCTCACTGCACGTATTTGGCTGAAGTCCGGAGGTTACGTTACCGTTAGCGTGCTAACATTACCTAACGTTTATAGCATCTCTGCAAGGCTCTGCCTCGCTGACCGCAAAAAAAATCTCTGTCGCATTAAATTAGCTCCCCAAAAAACACGGAGAATGTATGCATAGCTAAATACAGCACATCAGACAAACAACCCCTCTCTGGAGGGTCCTCTGGATGCCGCTTTGGCTAACGTTAGCGCGCAGCTAGCAGACCGCTTGGCTTTTATTAGTCGGGTTTGTGCTGTAAGTCTAGCCATCACTCGGCTGCTTAACTTTAGCGTTAAATACTCCGCTGCTGTTAAAGCATGTTTTTTCAGTCTAATAGCACAAAAATATGATCTAAAAATCACGAATACGTACTTGTTGGCGGCAGCAAGTGAACAGTAGCTTCTGGAAACGAGTGTCCGCAGCTCCTACCACCAGCCGTCTTTAATGCCAAGTAGTCTTGCTGTGGGCAATATTTTCCTCGACCAGACTACTTCGGGTTGCCAGATTGGATTGAAAGAACGCCCCTTATAACATTCAAACAGGATGTGAAATGTGCTACAGCATAGTTACTGTAGTTAGGATTGTTTGTATTATTTCGCTTTACTTTTTTTTTTTTTGCAAGATCGACTAGCTTTCTTAAATTTAGTTTTTGTTCTACAAGAATATTTGGTTTTACTTTTTTATGTAGGATTTCCTTTGTAAATAAAAATGCTGAGTTATTATCTATATTTAGCGAGGTGGTTAGCACTGTTGCCTCACAACAAGAAGGTCCTGAGTTCCACCATCCATCATGTGCCAAGCGCCTTTCTGCGTAGACTGCATGCTTTCTTCGGGTACTCTAGCTCCCCCCCCCTATCCACATACATGCAGTTAGTAGGGTTAGGTTAACGTGAGTGTCTTGCACGACATGCAGAGCAGTCGTGTGGACCCTAAAGACCCTGATATTACAGTCAGACAAAAAAGTATTAACTAGTAGTTAACTTCCTGTGTTTGAACTTTACTCATTTTATGAGTATATATAGTTTATATAGTATATATAGTTTCATTGAGTTTACTTTTTCGCTAGTACATTTAGTTTTTAGGTTAGTTTTAGTATATATATAAAATTTATTTTTTTATTTTTTACCGCAATTCTTTTTACAGCTGCATGGAACTGCATTAGTGAATAAATTCATGCATTTTTTGGTTATTATTCAAAATAATTAAGAACAATGCATTTAAGAAAAAGTGCAAAATTCAAAGTGAAACTTTAAAATATTTCAGACTAATTTCCCCCAGTACATTGTAATTACACTTGATGCCCAGGCTTATGTCAAAACAACATAATAAAATAGTAAACAAAATAAATAGAAGAATAATTAAAAGTTTTACAGGCACATCCAGGGTCCTTTCCATCAGTGGATGAAGCAATTCATTGTTACCTGAGCTAATAAATTCCAATTGTGTCTGGCTCTCTAACAGTTACAGAATAATACATAGTGAAATGGTATTTGTGCTGAAAATGAATATTTTTATACTTTGCATGAAAATAACTCAGAACTATTGCAAATTACTTTTCTTTTAATCAACGAAGTGAACAATTGACTAATTTATGGCAGCTCTGCCATACAAATGTTTAATAATCTATCAATGTAATATCAATCTGTTATCTTTTAACAGCTTTTCAAAAGGAGTTATTCTTTTGGTTTAAAAAAAGATTAAGTGTACAAGATCGGGCAACAAAAAAACAGCACGAGTACATACTGGAAAGTATAATCTGGATCTTTGTTAGTTCAATAGAGAGAAAATAGAGAAGGTTTTTTTTTTTTTTTATCAAATTGATATTGACAGCAGTTTCTTCCCCTCTGCTGTTGGACACATGAACAATAACCATATGACTGTTCCCACCACTAACACATGACCCTACGCTGTGTCACTGCATCATTCCATGTTTGGCACTGATCACCACCTGCACTCATGTATATATCTTTCTACGTAGCACTCTTAATTCTTATTCTCATGTATATATCTCATGTATAGCTCATGCACATATCTTTCTACGTAGCACTTTTAATTCTTATCCCTACTTTTATTTTTTCATGTCTATTTAAGTGCTATTTATGACACTATTTAAGTGCTATTTATGACACTATGTTTGCACTGAAGCACCGCAGCAATTTCCTAATGTTGTAAACCTGCTCAACATTTGGCAATAAACCCCTTTCTGATTCTGATTCTGATTCTGATTAGATTTATCTCCAAAGGACAGACTTCCAAAAAATACAGAAAGAAGAAAAAAATAGCATTTGGAATAGAAAGAAGGGAGGTTTTTAAGAACTAACAAATTTAACACGACTTTTCTTTTTGTATTTTTTTATTAACGTGAGAACAATACGCATACTGTCCAAACCTGGCAACCCAGAATCCACGTCGTCATTTCCGAAGTCGAAGAATAGGGTACGCTCGTTGTGTTACCTTGCACCGCCCGCCAGCCTCTTTAACAGCCATACACATGTGCTGTCATGATCGGGCACACATCGAGCGGCGAAATAACTTTAAAGCAGATGTTTAAAAAGCTGTAAGTGTGGTGCTGTGAGCGAGCGAGGTAAAGGAGGGGACCTTTGGGTACACCATTACCGATAGATAGTAATCCAGAGCGAGGGGAGCGGAGTAGCTCACTACACCAAAATGGCAACCCCCTATGTGACAGATGAATCTGGTAAGGCTGATGCATGTGCCAGACCTTTGTCTCAAAGAAAATGTATCTTACATTTTAAATCTTACAGCTACAGGGGAGAGATAGCCCGTCTTTCGCCTTTGCAGCATTCATCGTTTATAGTTCCCCGACACCGCCAACTGAAGGTTTTCTATGTTGCAGCTAGCTAATGCTAGTAACTAAAAATGGCTAAGTCTTCCGTAAAGCTAGTTAGCGTGTTGCTAAACACTCCAGGCGCACTTTATTAGTTATTAGAGTTAAATCACCGTTTAACATAACGCTTATAGGTGTCAGACACACATTTCCATGGTGCTTAGGAAAACATCTGGATATTTGACTTTAAATTCCGTGTAGAGGGATAATCTGTTAGTGGCCGCAACAGCTAGAGCTAACGCTGCTGATGCCGTGAATTAAGCTGATGTTGTCTTAGACTGTCACTGTATTAAGTCCGTTTAGAGGCTGTAATTTAATCCAAAGAACATCTGTAGTAAATAAAAAACATTTTTTGACTGTACAATTGTTAAAAATAACGGAGAGTTGTGAATTAATAAAAGCAGATCAATTTGATTTGTTATTCACTTATTTTCCAAACAAGCACAGTGACATCTAGTGGTGTGTAAACCTTATAACAGTCCTTAAACAAGTTTTACCTCTGTGTGCAATAAACTAAATATGTCCCTGCATTTAAAGAAAACTCTAGCACTGTTGTTGAGATGATCTGCAGTAAAGCCACTTTCACACTTGCTCACTGTAATGATTCTGCATGTGTTGTGTTTTGGTGTGAAGTTTCTGTGACTGTGGGGTCGTTCGATTGATATGTGTACAACTTTTTAAGTGGTTCACAATGTGACATGAAGAATGTATTCTATGCACATACTTGTAAACTAAGTTGACTGGTTAATGTTCTTTTCTTTATTTTCAGCTACATCAAGTTGTTGTCTTGGATGCACATATTAAACACATTAAAGGGAATGTATATTGCTATAAGTCACCTGTTTATTTTTTACTAGGCTTCATGGTTCACTGCTTAGACCTTGGCTTTGTTTGTGGTATTAGTGCCTTTTGAAACATTTTTTCCATGCACTCAAAAATATAATGACTTGCAGTGTGCTTATTTGTATTAAGCTGTCCAAAGTTTGGTATGTAACTTTGAACTGAACCGAACAATGCAAACCAATTTAGAGTCCACAAATTGGGGAAAAAGTAAATGCAGCTGAAAATGTCTTTATTTTCCTCTCTTAGCATAAGGATTTGTTAGAGACCTTTAAAGTTAGAGTTAGCTCCTTGGTTTATGGTGGACTTTTGAGATTTGCTAAAATAATCTTGCAAAGTAGGAACATGTTAGTATCACATTTTATGGGTTTTAAAATGCCTAAAATGTATGGAAATCCATAAAAAGCACTGTATTAACGTAAGATTCACAGTTAATACATGTAGTTGGTCGGGTCCTTGGGGCTGCAGGAATCTCACACTGTCCAAGTCTTTCTTTTAAATCATCAGTGTTGCCTTTCTGGGAAAACATGGAAAATATCCAGTGAGAATAGAAGCAGTAGACATTTTCAGGTCACTCCTGCACAAAGGTGTATGTCATCTCTAAAATGCTTTGCCTGTTTCGCTTCAGGGAAATACATCGCTGCTACTCAGCGACCTGATGGAACCTGGAGGAAGCCGAGGCGAGTGAAGGACGGTTATGTGCCCCAGGAAGAAGTCCCTGTGTAAGCGCCCTTCTTCTTTCCCTACAGTGTACACACTTTCTTTTTGTGCATTTGTAGGGCTGCATCGTTAATAAAAATTACTCATATACTATTATTTAAATTGCATTTCTCTTGCTTTAGGTATGAAAACAAGTATGTCAAGTTTTTTAAGAGTAAACCAGATCTGCCCCCTGGTTTGAACCCAACTGATGCAGCACAACCAACACAACAGCAGCAGCAGAAGATCCCCGGGTGTGGGGACAGTGACACAGCTGGTCTCTCAAAGTCTGCCAAACGCAACATGAAACGTAAGGAAAAACGAAAACAGCAGCAGCAGCAGGGCCAGGATGGAGATGCGGACGTGGAGTCGGTGAGCAACGCTGTCGAGAATGTGTCCATTTCAGAGAGCGACAAGTCTGCAAACAAGACGGCGGCGCCTGTTTCTGCGGCTTCTTCCATTGACTCTTCAGCAGCGGCGGCTGAAAAGGCTAAGAAGGTCAAAAACGTAAAAAAGAAGCTGCGACAGGTTGAGGAGTTGCAGCAGAAAGTGGACTCAGGGGAAATAAAACAGCCAACAAAGGATCAGTTGGAGAAGCTGGGTCGGGCAAAGGCCTTACAAGAGGAATTAGAGCAGCTGGAGCAGGATTCCTGAAGCAATAAAAGACAGCAGAAGAGTTGGATGAACTCAACGTACAAACTACACACAAGAAGGGACCCTTGCAGCTTTTGTGATCATAGATTCCATTAAACATATTGTACCTATTTGATATTTGTTATGAACTTGGGAAGTGAACACAGCCCCAGCACCGTCTGCATAGCAGGTGTCGCATCTTAACCACGGACAAGGTTGTTTTATAGATTCTGATAAATAACATTGTGATTCCTCATATACTTGTACAGGAGAGGTTCTTCATCCATAAATATGTTTAAATGGATAATTGTGAATTGTTTTGTGCGTGTCTGTCCTCTCCGTTTTGTACTTTTCATCACATCACGAGGACTCATTTACAGAAAAAAATAAACATGGAAAAAATAATTTTTTTGTCAAAGAAAATCTGGTTTGTTAACCTTTCTGTTTTGGAAATTAACATTCTTGTCAATGGTTGGATGCCCTCTTGTAGTCTCACTAATGTTGAGTCTTCACAGTCACTACTTTTATTAAAATACAAGCTGTGTAAAGTGCTTTTGTGTTTTTAAAGTGGAATATGTTTTAAAAAGCATTTACTTGCTCAGAAAATAAGACTAGGGGTGATGATCTATATTTTTGTTTTTATCTATAAATTACATTTAGAAGTCGGCCATCTTGATACAACTTTTGTTTTTTCAATAGTAAGAGGGCCATGTGACACATCAAACTTATTGGTAATGTCACAAGAAAAACAATGGTGCTCGTGGTTTCAACGTAACTTTATTCTTTCATGAGTTATTTACAAGTTTCTCTTTGTTCACAGCCATTGACATGTCGAAGAGGTTAACACGTGAGGAGCGGATCGAAATTGTGTTGATATCTGGTGAACGCAGTAACCGGGTCATTGCAGCAGATTTCAATGCAAGACACCCTACGAGACCACCCATCTCCCATACTACAGTTAGCAAACTGCTTGCTAAGTTTCATGAAACTGGTTCAGTGTTGGATTTGCCAAAATGTGGAAGCAAGAAAACTGTCACTAATGAAGAAACATCAGTGGCTGTCCTAGCTTCATTCAGCAAGAGCCCACAGCGTAGCACTCGCCGCATGTCACTGGAGAGTGGCATTAGTCGAACATCCCTTCTGTGGATATTAGCTACTCACAAATGGCAACCTTACAACTCCAGCTACTGCAGCATCTCAACGAGGATGACCCAGATCGGCCCCAGAATTTGCATAATGGGCAAAACAAAAATTGGAACAGGACCCTCAGTTCAGGCAGAAGATTTTGTTCAGTGATGAGGCAAACTTTTATGTGAATGGTGAAGTTGACAAACAAAACCACCGCTATCGGTCTGACACTAACCCACATTGGATGGATCCCTCCAAGACTGTTGGAACAACAAAAGTGATGGTTTGGTGTGGTATATGGGGTACAACGATAGTGGGTCCATTCTTCATCAATGGAAACCTCAAGGCCACTGGATATTGAGTTTTTCCAGCAAGATGGTGCACCACCACATTATGGGTGCCAGGTCCGAGCATTCCTAGATGAACAGTTTCCTGGAAAGTGGATTGGTCGTCGTGGGCCAGTTGAATGTCTCCTGACCACCTTAGACTTTTATCTTTGGGGTCATCTGAAGGCAATTGTCTATGGTGTGAAGATACGAGATGTGCAGCACCTGAAACTACGGATACTGGATGCCTGTGTTGGCATTTCTCCTGCGGTGTTGTTATCAGTGTGTGAAGAGTTGGAGAAGAGGGTTGCATTGACAATCCAACACAATGGGCAGCACATTGAAGACATTTTATAAGTGGTCAGAAACTTGTAAATAACTCATGAAAAAATAAAGTTACGTTGAAACCAAGCACACCATTGTTTTTCTTGTGACATTACCAATAAGTTTGATATGTCACATGGCCCTCTTCCTATTGAAAAAACAAAAATGTATCCAAAGAGCTCCATTGCTGTTCCAGCACTTTACAAACAGACTCATGAGCCATGTCTTTGACATGTTCCTCTACTCCTTGTATGCCTTTGTGCAGCTTTGCTACCATTACACTAAGTGCATAGATGATATGCCATAGTGAGCCTTGACGGGAGCAGCTGAAACAAATACACTGATTAATCCTTTTGAGTAACATTTGCTTTAATATGAAAAAAAAAACCATTAAAAAATACAGAGGGTAGGAAGCACATTGAGTGATCTAGAGAGCCACCAGGAACACCAGGACAGAGACACTTAATGCTGGACAGGCCAGACAAATTTGGACTACCCCTTTCATGCAAAGGGTTTGGCATAGGGTCAAAACTAACAAAAAAAAAGTGTGCTGTTGTAGAATTGTTGATAGCCTATACTTGAGGGATGAGTGGTCCTGATGAGGATGTTATATTAATGATTTTTCTGGCTCAAAATGGACCGCTGGGATGTAACATAAAGTAAGAATGAGTCATCCACATGTAGTCAAGGCAAAGGGGTCTGTATTAACTTAAGTCGATATATTCTTCTGTTATGTTTAGTTATTTGATAAAAATGTACCTTAAGCTTAAATAAATTAAACCCCACTTATAAAAACTTCAAAGTCATCGTTCTGACGATTGTCCAGTATTTGATATAAGCAGGAAAGTCCCTATATAGGCTATCTTTATTATTAATATGTTTGAATGTCTATACTGGTAGCTGTTTTCCAGTCTGAAGCCTGGGCAGGCTCACAGGGATTACCTGTACAGTTGTGGCCAAATGTTCATATGACATGAATGCCATAGTAATTTGGGGCTTTTAAAGATTTCTTTAACCCGTTCTTTTTCCAGGTTGGAATGATCGTACAGCATACAATTAGGTGTGCAAGTTTGGATTTATTTTGGGTTTTCTTTAATCCACACAGGGTACACAAGTATACAACATACAGGCTCAGATATTTACATAAAACTTGCTCTAGTAATTGACTAAATGTCCCTTAGCAAGTTGCACCTCAACCAAATGCTTTTGGTAGCCATCAACAAACTTTGGTATAATTCTGGCTGATATTTGACTAATCTTATTGGCAGAGTTGACAGAGTTCTTTTAAATTGGTTGGCTTCCTGACACAGACTTGGCTTTTTTCAAAGTCCACAAATTTTCAGTAAGATTGAGATCAGGGCTTTGCGAAGGCCATTTCAGAAGCTTAATGTTTGCTTGCTTTATCCATTCCAAGTCATTGCGGCCAGATGGGTCCAGATGTGTGATTGGAGGTTTGAGCCTTGGTGGTTCCTGTGTTGTTCATGAATATCCTAATGAGTGTCCTCTCATCTGACGGTGACAGTTTGGATGTATACTTTTGACCCCACTTGGATTAAAGAAAAGGTGTATGCTGCACAATCATCCACCCTGGAAAAAGCAGTTCAAACAAATCAGTAAAAACCCCAAATTGCCCTGACATTCATGCCCATGATGCGTGTATGTAAGCTATTAACCACACAATAACACTGATCTCATTTTTTAAACTTTGTGTTTAATAGAGGCATCCACCATCTTGATGGTGCATACAAGAAAATCATGATAGATCCACTTTAATATGTTTGCTTTCCTCCATTAGAATTAGTCAATCAATGACAAAGCTTATGCCTTAAAGAGCCAGAGAGGCTAGATAAAAATTCTCTTTCTTGGTGAGGAATCAGGGATGGTCTCACCAGGAGATGTAAATGTTTTAAACCCCAGGAGTTTTGCCGTCTCGGTTTTTATGAGCCTTTATTCCACAATGAAACAGCAGAGGAGGAGGCGTACTCTGTCTCAGACACGATTTGTAGCAATGGTTACACGGGGGTGTCATTGTTTTTGCTTGAATGGGCTCCTACTTTGAGAACAATATAATTAGCTGTTGTCTCATTGAGGATGTGTGGTTTGTTGTTGTTTTTTATATGGCAACCACAGGATAAAGAACGCTCAGATATTGTGGAATAAAGTGCAGATTTCACAAACATGAATCACATGTGAGCAACTCGGTAGCATTTCTGTTACATCTACCACAGACATCCGTTATAAAGTAATACAGCTTAATTAAAAATCAAGAAAGTGCTTGTCTTCCACCACAATGACATAACTGGTCGCAAGACGGCACCTTTATTAGGTAGTGGGCAGCTCATCCACATTCTAAAAAAAGTTCATTCTTAATTTATTTGCTTCCTTTGACGTAAACAACATTACTCTGAAGTTATTCTTACACCCTTCAAGACAAATGGCTCTAAATGATGGTGTCAGAAGGCGTGATCAGGTGGTTAACATCTGAAATATGTGTTGGTGTTTTGCAGTCGACACATCACATTCCTTGTAAATATTTATTATGTGGTTTCGAGGCAGGTCCTGAACAGACACTTGACAGTATAAATACTAAGACACCAACTTTGACACAGTTATAGAAGAACGAACACAGAGAAGATGGATAAAATGATGTTTGGAAAGACACACAGCTTATTTATCAGTTGAAAAGATCAACTTGCCGCATTGGATTCAAAGTTGTTGTTTTTTCTATCTAGTAATGGAAAAAGACCCAAACTGGAAAATGGAATACAGACTGGAGTTAATGGTGCTTCTTGTTTTGTTGATAACAGCTTCATCTATCGCCCTGAGCAGAAAAGATACCACAGAAGCCATGGTAAGAAAATACAAAACAAGCTGGATCTGCTGGAATATAATCTAAAATATTAATGTAAAAATCACAGTCTCCGAGTCTAGAATTTGCATACAATTCGCTGAGAATTAAAATAGAAAGACTTGGAGCATGCACTGCTGTCCAGTTTTAACATTACTTCCACAGAGATCAGCAGAAACTGGATTTTTAATTGTCTTAAGCTCACCAATGTCACTGTAAGGCCAGATCTCTATATAATTGGCACAAATGGAAGTAATTCCTCAGCTGGTAATGGAGCATCTATATTCAGTCAACCTCACCTCACCCATGCTGAGATTATTTAGTTTCAGTGACCAAAAATAGTCAAGTAACATGTCAAAAAAGAAAGAACAATTGTTTTAATCTGTTTAGTAGAGATCAATAATTTAATATCCCTCACACTGTCTGCCATTCTTTTAGGTTTACTTAAAGAAGTATGGCTACCTGCACATCCCACTGGACAGTAAAGTTCAAGATTATTCACATGAGCAAATGGCGGAAGCTTTAAGGTTAACCATCTTATCAGTTTACATTGTCCTCATTTACTATTTAGACTTCATTTCAATTGAAAGTTCAAACTTTTTTTTTAATGTCAGAATGTTTCAGAAAGTGACCAACCTGCAGGTATCAGGAAAACTGGATTTAGCCACGCTGGCAATGATGAATAAACCTCGATGTGGCCTCGAGGATTCTTTCGATAACAAATCTCTCAAATATCGAGTCCTGGGTAGGTAACGGTATACATATTGGATTTTTAATGTGTAGTTTATGTGCATATAAAGGATTTTGAATTATAATTTCACAGGTTACTGGCGTAAGAAAATGCTGACGTACCGCATTTACAATTACACTCCTGATCTGGGTCAGGGAAAGACTCGCATGGCCATCCAGAATGCTTTTAAGTACTGGAGTGATGTGTCACCTTTAAGGTTCAGAGAGTTGGATCAAGGAAGAGCAGACATCAAAATCTCATTTCACAGAAAAGACAAGACGTGTCCAGTACCCTTTGATGGCCGAGGTAGGACCAGCATATGAACAAAGAAACTCCAAAGTTTTGTGATCTGAGTGACTTCTGGTATTTAATTAGAATCCTTGCTTCATCTTTAGGCCGTGTTTTAGCGCATGCTGATGCCCCTGAGTCTGGCATTGTGCACTTCGATGAGGATGAACTGTGGACAGAAGGGAAGAGTTCTGGCTCCAACCTGAGGATTGTAGCAGCTCATGAAATTGGCCACGCTCTAGGCCTGGGCCACTCACAGTACTACAATGCACTGATGGGACCTGTTTACAATGGATACCGCTCTGACTTCAAGCTTCATCCAGATGACATACAAGGGATCCAAGCTTTATACGGTATTGCCAAAATGTTATTACAGCACCATATGAATATATCTTTGAAGTACTATTTATGCAACCTGCAATGCTATCCCTTTTCAGGAAAGCCAGAGAAGATTCCTGAATCCAGAAATCCAGGACAGTCAAGGCCAGGAGGTGTTATTCCAAATCCATGCAAGGCCACTGTGGATGCAGTTATGTTGGGTACAGAGACTCTGATGCTCTAATACAAATTCCTTTATATATGCTTTGCTCTGTATTTTGTTTAACAAAACAGGAAGATGCTTCTAAAGATATTTTTTCTCCTACATTTTGCCCCTGCAGGTCCTTTGCGTAAGACATACTTTTTCAGTGGGCAGTATGTGTGGACAGTGTCCAACTCTGACTACAACACTCCCATCCAGATTTCCGCACTGTGGAAGGAGCTGCCAGGAAGTCTCAGTGCAGCTGTTCACTCTCCGCGAACTGGCAAATCCTACTTTCTGAAAGGTTTATTCAGTAGTTTTATCAGCAACGTTCAGAATGTTTAATTCCAGCTGTGTGTTCTGTTTGGTGTGTTTTCTGAATTCAAGTGTCTTTCCTCTGCAAACATCCTTTCACAGGAGACAAATTATGGAGATACACAGGCTTCAAACTTGACCAGGGCTTCCCCAAACGTTTGTCCAACATCCCTGCAAATATTGACTCTGCTTTTTACTTCAATAAGAACCAGAAGATTATCTTTTTCAAAGTAAGATGATTTTCAGTCTTTTTGTTGTTTTTGATATCTGAACTCAGTCAATAATTTGCTCTTTATTTCAGGGCTCTGGATACTGGCAATGGGATGAAATTGCTCCGACGGATTTCAAATCATACCCTAAACCAGTTGGACAACTCTTCAAAGGGATGCCCAGCAACACTGATGCTGCACTAACGTGGACTAATGGTTATGTATACATATTTAAAGGCACCGAGTATTGGCGTGTAAACCAAAACTACCAAGCAGTGGAGAAGACCTACCCTCTCAACACTGCCTTGCGCTGGATGCAGTGTGACGACTGAGCCACCAGAGGCCACTGGGGACTCAACATTAGCCTTATCTGCACAATGACTTGATTTAATAACAGTGAAACAAGCTCACAGTATGGGTATTGGTTATGTGGGTGTGTGCAATGATATTTGCTTCTCAGTCCTGTCATGTTGAGCAAAAAAGGAATACTAAAGCTTCCACTTACCTAATTAAACTAACAAATAAACTAGTAACTAGTTAAAATAGTTATCTTTAATTATACATACTTCTGCTTCTCTTCCACTTTAACATTAAATAAACAGACCAATCAACCAGGATAACAGAGGAGAGGACATTAATCACAGAACACGTGAGGAATACTTCTCTGTAGCCTTCCCCCGGTTGCATTTTATTGGTGTATGTGTACATTATGTCAGTATATTATATGAGTTATATCAAATGTTGTTAGGGTGCCCTTTTTAACGTCTGGCCACAAATGCCAGATAAAGGAGTCTTGGTAAAATCTAAACGAATCAAATAAAACCAAAACAGATTTTTGTGAAGCTCACGCTGCTCTTAACAAAGCAGGAGTCTTAAGAAGTCAGAGCAGGTGGAAAACACCTGTGTAGTTGTGCATGCAGTGTCTTTGAAGGATAAGGTCACTTTACATGATAAGAAAGTCAACTTCAGACACGTGAACAAGATCAGCAGGCGGTTTTCACCACATGGAGATCTTCCAAATACCTAACTTCTGTGTTCACTTTTATTTAGGCACCAGTTTATTATAATTAATTAAAATGAAACTAAAAACTACAACTCGATGTGAACAATTGAAATAACTGAAATAAAAATCAGACTTTGAATAGGCTGATTGAAAATTATATTGTGCATTCAGAAAACTAAGAATTAATTTTGCTGCCGTGTGGTTCTATTGGAAACATCAGAAGACTTTGTTGTATGTGTTTTTCCGTGACCGTAATTTTTCGATTACACTGTTGTGTCCTAATATCTATTCTGGACTTCTTAGCACTTGCCCTTAACAAATACCACCCACATAAAAAAAAAAGACTGTATTAAAACTGGACATCGTCAGACCATAAAAAGCTCAATTGTGAAATGTGCAAACCAGCGGAAACTAGCTGAAGCTACACTGAAATGAAAACTTTAATTCAAAATGAAATGAAAATTAGAAGGAACAAAAAAATTGAAACTGTATTTACTCAGACAGAAGACAACGGCTCAAAAATGTGAAAAATGTCATTTCCACTTTCTTTTAAAATGTCTGTGGAGAAGTTTTTTGCTACGATAAACATCATTCTGTACAAAAATGTCCATAATATCATTATGCATGTACAAGGACAATAAAGGGCTATTCTATTCTATTCTAAATCCTTGCACGTAAAGTGCAAAGTTAACATAGCTGAACAGTAGCGACATTAACTGAAAAAACAAAGGGTGGGAAAAAAGTGGAATTAACATTTAAACAAGTGTGAATAAAGGGAAGGTTAAGAACAAAACTGACATATTCATACATTAAAATTAAATTATAATTAAAACAATGTTCCAGAAATCTTGGACCCATTTTCATAGTGTTCATAGACTTCTTGTTTTCTTCTTTTCTGCTAACCTGAACCCCACAACCATAAAACTGTACAGAACAAAGTGCATTGACCAAGTGGCAACATCCAGAAGGGACTGCAAATCGAAGTCAACACTGCAGTTCCTCAAGTGACCACTTGAGGCTGGCTCCGTAAAGTGAGTCTGTACTCAGAGACTCCAGTGTTAAAAGGCCAAAGTTTAGCTATGGCATATTTACAGTCTAGTACAAAAATGGCTTTGTTCTCTATAATTAAATCCCTCATAATAATTACAGGTTTTTTGAACTGTTTAAACTTTCAAGGCTGGTAGCTGTCTATTATCAACTCTGAAAAACTTCTCAAATCTGTTTGTATCTTTTGGAGCATTTTTAATACATTTATATACCAAATCACATGGCTCGCTTAGCACTAATTATAAGGTATCTGTGTCTGCATGATGCATCCATGCAGTTTACGGATCAAGCTAATGGTAATATTAGTAGATAACTCAGCCCATTTGTCCAAATTTGGTCACTTCTGATTCCAAAACATGCAACATGCTAAAGAAATGCTGAAGTAAAAGCTTTAAAACTGGATTTAACATTTAGACACAAGAGGTTCTTGTTTGTGAAAGGTCAGAGAATGTAAACATGAATGACATCTCGCTCTGTAATGCTGGCCAGCTGCATTCTTCTTTTATAGCAGTGACAAAATGGTGTACAGAAAACAGCTGTACAATTACTCCAAGAAGGCGTGTGGATTTTTTTGTGACCTAGTCATGATTTTTTGGAGGAGATACAGTTTCTGAGTCAAATGTATTTGTGACCTACAAATAGGAGAATTTTGATCTAGCCTCTCCAGAACAGATATCTTCAAAGAAGGACAACACACCAGAGGAGTATAGATGGATTAATAACAGTACAGAGCAGAGGAAAAGCATGTTTTATTTAATCTCTTAAAAATAAGGATGTAACCTTCAAAGATGAAATAACACATCATCTGGTTTTCAAATTCAAACTTGAACTCATAAACAACTAAACACACTCTTCACAGTTTTAATACCATCAGTTTTTTCGATGCTGCTGACATTCTTATCTTTGGTATGATTGCATAAACATCACGTTGCTGATTTAATGACTCTTAACATAAGACAATACCCAAAACAGCTGACTGTGAAGCTGTCTGATCAACATTTTATTGGTCTACTGTTCAGAATTATATGTTTTATGTATATCCTTGGTTTCATTGCATGTGCTGGCACACATTTATCTTTTGTAGCTGTAATGATTACATTTCAGTGCAATCTAGATGTGTTACTGATCTATGTATGTACACAGTGACATAAGCAGAGTGTTTAAGATTGTAATGATATTGCATGAAACAAAAGAACTCATCTGAGAGTTAAACTGCTCAAAGGATTTAGTAGTCATGGGCCTGATGCTGTGTTGAGGTTGCATTAATTTGTCTTGTCATCATTCAGGGGATGATCTCCAAGTACCTCATATCAGTCTGAGCATGCTGATTGTTATCTGATGAAGCCAGTAATAAGGATTCAAACCACAAGTTGAAACTGTGGAAAGGTGTTTGTGATGGTCAAAAATTCAAATGATTAATTATTCCTCAGACATATGTAACCTATAGTTGCTTGAAGCCATGTTAATCAAACTGTGAAGACTGGAGAGGAAGTGGTCAGAGGCACCATGGAGCCTGTTTCAAAGTCAAAGTCAATTAGAGTGTGTGTGATAGTGCTGACGGTGCTTTTAGAGGAGCCGGTTCCCATCTGACGCTCCTGAAGGCTCTGAAGATAACTCTGCAAGGCAAACAAAAGGAGGATGCACTGTTGTTAAACTGGCCATTTACCATGGAGACAAATTATACACAGTGAGAACCTAGAACACTCTGGTGCTCCACAAAGCTGCAGTGGGCCTTGTTTACCAGTTCATGTATGAAAAGTGTGCTAATACTAATGTATACTTGTGTCATGTCAATTTTATTTATCTAGCATATTTTGAAAGAGACAGAAGATAACCCAAATCATTTCCAGGCAAACGTATTTACATTCAAGGTCTCCAGCAACCCAATTTCAAAACCCAAAACTACCTAAAAACTTAAATTAAAATACGATAAATAAAACAGCAACAGAGCAACATAAACAATTGTATACTTAAAAAAAAAGAATTCAAAAACAAGAATAAATGATAAATAAAATCCATCCATCCATCCATTTCCACTGCTTATCCCTGGTTGGGTCGTGGGGGTAGCAGAGAAGCCCAGACCTCTCTTACCCTAACCACCTCCTGAAAGGAGGCCATCATCTGATGAAGCCAAAAGAACCACATCATCTTCAAAAAGCAGAGATGAGATCATTAAACCACCAAAGTGGGAGCCTTCTGTCACTTGCCTAGAAATTCTGTCCATAAAAAGAAGTGCCCACCACAGCATATCCCGAGGGATGAAGTCGATTGCCTTCACAAAACAAATGTAAACTGATTGGGCAAACTCCTGCTCACTCTTGAATATTCTTGAGAGGACAAAGAGCTAATCGGGAATTCACGGCCAGGACTAAAACTGCATTGCCCCTCCTGGATCCAAGACACAACTTATGGGTGGACTATCCTCTCCAGCACCCTGGCAAAGACCGTTCTGGGGATGCTGAGAAGTGTGATCCCCCATGACGCTGGAGCATGCTCTCCAGTCCCCCTTCTTGAGGAGAGGAACTACCACCCAGGTTTGCCAATTCAGAGACACTGTCTCTACCTTCCAAAGGCATGTTGTGGGTGTCAGTCACACAACATCCAGTGCCTTAAGAAGGAGTGGTTTAACTATCATGGTGACCTCACCTTAGTGATGGCCAAGTTGCCCCCTCATCCATCCATGTCGATGGGATTGATGTGATCCTTGAGGTATTCCTTCCACTGCCTATGTGCTGAGTTGAAGTTTGCAGCTCCCACCTGCACTATGCACCATTTGAGTATAATACTGCTTTCTCCTCTTGAGTTGCCTGACAATTTGCCAGAAGCACTTTGGCAGCCCTTGATTGCCATCCAACACACATTGTGTCTGACCCCTCCTCTGGGTGGTGACACCACAAGAGGGTAGCCCTATATTGTTGCTTCAGGCTATGCAAATTGGGAAATTGCACTGTATATCAGGAAGTTGCAGTAGTAAAGGTGGGAGGCAATAAAGCAAAGGATAACTAAATCCTTTAGGTACATAGCTAAGTTTAATATTTATTAATGACTTAGAGTTGGTAAAAATGCTCTTCACAACATTACTGACTTGATTCTTATAATTCAAGGAAATAGCAATAAAAACATAAAGATTTTTTTACATTTTTGACTTATGTAGATATGGATAAACAACCAAGTGCCTTGGCATCTGTTATTATTATTATCTGGAATGGATAAATAAAATATGAACCAAAAAGCACATCAACCATTTGAATCTCAGCCACTGACCGGTGCCAGGACATCCCCAGCATAGCGTTTCAGGGGTGGAGGCCTCCGTTGGCGGTGATGCTGAGGTCTTCTCCTTGACTCTTTATTTGCATGTTTTTTTGCATATTTCTTCTGTTTTTTATGTGCACCTGGATGCATTAAAAGGGGAGAACAAAAAAACATAAAACATGAATACACAACATCAAATAGGGAGGTTGTGAATACAGCCTTGAGTTAGAGATTGAATTAAACTTACTTCCATTGTGTGATATTCCTTTGGCAGTAAACCACCATTGCACCAGCACTCCGGTGAGACTCAAAACAGGACAGATTCCAGTGACAGCCCAGTCAAACCAGCAGAGTGGTCGTGGAGCAGCTTGAGAAAATATATCATACACTTGATCTGGCAATACAAATGCCCCCACCAGGTAATCTGCACACAGCATGACTGCAGTTGCTCCAAACACAGAAGTGAAGATTATGCTGAATAGTTTCTGCCACTGGAGTGTAAAGACAGCAGCGGCCATGCTGGCAGCTAGAACAACACTGAGAGGCACCCAAACTGGAGTAAGGCTGTGAAATTGTCCAATAACCACCAAGATGGAGAGGGAGAGAAGGCTTCCCAGAAGTAAGCCGCTGATGAGGAGTCCCACAGTTGTCATTAACATGGTCAACAGTCCACACAGCACAGCCACACCAAGGCCAATGCCCGCCTTGGTCTCTGCCTGCAGCTGGGTGCTCAGTGCAGGTTCTTTATGGTACAAGAGGAGCATGGCTGCCGAGCTTAACAGGAAGCCTGAGAAGAACATGACCATCTTGAAGCAGCGGTATCCTGGGGGAGGGTAATAAAAGAAGGTTAGAACCAGCTCCAGTGTTAGTTTTAATACTGATTAATAAGCAGGCAAAGCATAGGCATCACTGGATCAATTAAGGAATATTGGTTTGTATTTGTAGGTTTTGGGTTTAGCTTATGTGCTTAGATCACCTAATATTTTTGTCATGTTTCTTCAGGATTTTGCAGGATGTAATGGGTTAATGTAACTACATTTTATTTGTTAGTAATGCAATAATGTAAAGCGCCACACTTCAGTCATTTATTATGACCCCTTAACTGTTATATTAAAGTTACAGTTATGTAATTGTAAAAAATTGCATTGCAAAGATTCTTTTGTTAACTGTGCCCAAAACACATCAAACAAACATGTTTTTATTCTTCATAAAATCAAATAAACTTTATTAGTCTCAGAGTTGGGAAAGTCACATTCTTACAGCTGCAGTGTGAACAGAAATAAAGTGACGCACTGTAACTTAGCAATAATAATAATATTATTTTAGTTTTATTGTAGTTTTGGTGGGATTTTTAAATGTGCTTTGTTTTAGATGTAGCAGTTGGAGACCCAGCATGTCTGTCTGTTTCCCAGCTTTCCTCCCTCCCATACCCACTCTTTTCTCTCTCTCTCTCCTTTTCTTTTTCTATCTTTCATGTCCTTTCTGCTTCAGCATAATATCCACATAGATAATAGCATGAATAATAAAAAATAAAATAAATAAAACAATAAGATTAACAAAAGGAGCCTACAAGACAAGCCTAACTAACTTGTCTTGTAGCACCTTGGTTCCTGGAGGAACGTTGTTTCGCCTCACTGTGTATTTTTAAACTGTATATGGTTGAAGTGACAATAAAGTTGAACTTGAACTTGAACTTGAAGAGAGCCCATAGTGCTCCTCTTGGGAAAGCAGATGTGTTTGGCACAACAAAGCATTCAGACCATGATTCTGCTTGCTACAAGGACAGGACAGATGTTTAAGAAAACAAAAACAAAAACAATAAAAGAATCTGTAAAAAACAGATTAAAAATGTGTATTATCCAAGGTAGATGAAATATTAGGTCCACTATTTTTTTTTTTTACCTTATATGAGCCACAACAATAAGAGCTGATTGGATGACTCTGCAGATGCTGATGGTTCACACACTAAAATACCTTTTCATTCACAAATTTGTTCCAGCATTCATCTCCAGCTCCAGGTGGGGAGACTACAGTGATTGCTCTCGTTCCTTTACAGTTTTGTGGCTAATACCACAGGTTACCTTTAGTTATAGTGAGAGACATGTTTACTAGTGTCTATGAATACAAAAGATATTTATTTTGTGATATGGAAAGGCGTATGGTGAAGACAGTTATGGCAATGTTTTAGATTTCTGATGAATTTTTTTGGGTGGATGGTTGTGGATGATAGTAGACAAAGCTCATTGTTTGCAGTGTAATTCTGCTGTACATTTGCCCAATGCTTCACATGACTCATTTGTATTCTGGTGTCCTTTGAGTCTCTGTGGGCAGGCCACTTGCATGTGCATGGCAATCACTAACCACAGAGTTGCATAAGTGAATACAACTATGACAGCACTCTCTTTGTCTGCACCACTAAAACTGCTTTTTTTAAATTCCCCATTATTAATTATTGACAGTTATACATTTCCTCACAGTGCGTTAGTGTTACTGGAAAAACAGACTTTGGCAGCATGTGTGTTTGCGTAATGTCACATGTTTTAGGCTGCAGGTCCTTGTGACACAACACTCTTTATCACACTCAGTTTTTGTGTTGATTGAATTTTTCTCTGCATATTTTCTCAGTAATACCAAATAAATATTGGTTTTAATACTGTAGTATATTTTCTCCCTGTGTAGCTCTACATAAAAACAAATCACTGTCAGTGCTGACAGGAGCAGACTTCAGCTTTAACTTTAGACCATGAGTGTGTAACAGGTAGCACTTCATATATGCTGTCTCTGTCAGATTCAGACACAGGACTACCCATCTGCCTTCTCTAGCTTTGGGCTTATCCACCCTAAACCCCTGGCAGCCTGCAGACACCTGCCACTGAGGCTTTAAGCCATCAGGTGAGCTCTTGAAACATTTAAAAGCGGAGTGGACAGTTAGATGTAAAAAATTTAAGTAGTCTTTCCTTAAATTTGACGTTAATAACATTATGATTACGTACCGGAAAAGCAGTAGATGAGGCCAAATGAAAGGCAAACAGAGCACACAATAGATGGGATGACTTCATACTTCATATTAATCTCAAGTGTACATATGTCCACTTCACTTAAGCCAGCTCCTGGTTTCTCAGTAACATAGAGTGAAGTGAGTGCCATCTTGGAGGGTTATTACTTCTGGTGGTGAGCAGCTGGTGTGGACGTGAATCTGTTTTGCTCATTGAAAGGACAAAACTGGAACGGCCTGCATTTTGTATCCAGGGAAAGAGGAAGCTCCTGAACCAAGAGCATGTACTAAACTGTTTCCTGTTGTGCACCTGCAGAAAGAAAAGACTGTTTATGACTTCTACAGCAAAGACAAACACAGACCCAGTTCTATTTTTTCCTGCACTAACTTGAGATTTATTAAACATCAAGTCTCGTCTATCCCGGAAATTTCTCCAATGAAAACACAACTTCCATTCCATATGAGACATCATAAAGTTTTTAAATGAAGCATCAGTCATATTTGGGTGAATTTATGAGAGGATGTTGCTCTTTCCCATGTCCAATTCCCTGTTCAGGAACCAAAGGAGGAAACTGGGGGTCCCCTTGAGTTTCTCTTTTGTTCAAGAACAGGATACAGATGAGGAAATGACCTTGTGACTTGATGCCATCGTAATACGTATGTATTGTCCTGAACATGTGGTTAAGTATGGTTAAGTTTAGTGCACAAGATAATGAAAAAAAACAGCTCAACAATAATACAGTATATTCTATATGGTGGAATAGATGTACTCTAGCCTCTAGCATAAGTAAAACTAGCTAAAACAGTACAGAAACAAATGAGTTCTGCATTCAGAAAACCCTTTAAGTACATAGTGATTTAAAAGTTTGCATTCTGGAGAAGGACTGTAGCTTATAATTAACGATGCATCACTTTAATGTTGTGGATAGTTATTATGAATATTCAAAAGAAAAATATTTCCTGATTAATTTGAGTGAAATTGGGGTATACATTTCACTCAAAGATGGAGACATTTATGCAAAGCATAAACCTATTTTCCTCCACTAGAAAAACAGAATAGGATTACTTATCAGCTAAATTAAAACTATTTTGTTAGATATTTTATACACTCATTATTAACTGCATAGATCGTGTTTACACACTCTTCATCTTGGCTTACAGTGCAGCTGTCTAGCTACAGGGTGTATTATTGTAAAGACTTTATAAGCTGTTCAGGCAGATCCTACAGTCAGCAAATGGAATTATAGGGGCTTTAGCAGGTGAGGGATCCTCCTGTCAACTCCTGTGTCCTCTTATATAGATAAAAGCATAAACACATTTTCTAGCAGCTAAATAATCCTTGTAACATTAAAAACATAAAAAAAATCACAGCTTCAATACAGGAAAAGCCACTAAAATAATTATTTTTCTACTAGTTTGTGAGATTCAGTGACAAAAAATTTTTTTGTTTTCATTGCAGAAACAGTCAGTATGATTATCTATAGAGCTGAACAGAATAACTACAAACAATAAAGAAACCACAGTCTCTTAAATGAAAACATAATTTTAAAAATTCTGTGACCTACCTCAAATGCCACATATCTTCACACTGTAGAAGTAAACTTTCTGCGAAAAACAAAATATCCTCATTAGCTGTTAACCCCAGGGAAGAAGAGAGAGGTCCATAGTTTGTCAAAAGTTTATGTTGTTCTCTCTGAGAGCTGTGTGTGAAATCAATGTCCACCGCACTAAGTCCCTCATCTGTGCTTGTGAACAGCTGACGCCTGACTCTGAGAGAGAGAGAGACCATCTGCCCCCAGCGTCAATACAAAGCTGCTACCAAGTCCAAGGCCGGACCAGCTGAGAGTTCAACTCTCACTACCCAGGATCCTGCTGGAGCCACAGCACAGTTCAGAGTTTATTTCAGTCAGTGTGACTTTTCATTAAGGTTAAATTCAGTTTGCACCAAAACAATATTGTTTTAGGCTCTGATTTGTGTTTATTCATAGGATCTCCCCACAAAAATGTAATTTAATCCTTTTCATGATGGGTTGCAAACAGTATTCTAAATGTGTGTGTGTGTTTTAACCATGTTAAAGTGGGTGCCTTTAAAGTTTTAGTGCTATATATAATATGAACCTGCATTAAAATTTGTGAAGGTACTTGTGGTCTTAAAGGGATGATGCATACTGACTTAAGTGATCCCTGAGCTTCTCCTCTACTGCCACCATGAGGTTGACATTTAACAACAACTTTTAGCTATACTTTGTTTTTAGTGCTAATCAGAATCTTAGCATGCTAAACTAAGGTGGTAGCATGCAGGCAACATTATGCCTACAAATCTCAATAAGTCAAGATTTGAAGGAACTGAGCATGAGTTATTGAAATTTAGAGTAATAATGTATTTGGTAATTAGACTGCAATGAAGCCACATAGCATAGTGGAGTCCAACAATGGCAAGGAATAGAAGAGGACCCTCCTGGAGTTTAGACGCTGGTGGTGGCAGAAATGGTCAGGATGACGTGGAGATGTAGAGGAGGCAGGAAGTAAAAGTCTGAAAGGCAGAATGACAGGAGAGCATTGAGATTTAAACTATGTGGAACAGAGGCTGACTGGCTCCCAGAACGCAGGTGAGAAAAAGACTGGGCCAGAGTGATGACAACATATATATCTTTGACTGCGTGGGAAAGAGGAAGTAATGCAGAAAAAAGATCAGCGTGAATGCAGGTAAATGAATGACCAGAGAACTTCCTTATTGAACTTATTGAGCTCATATCTACATCTGGACTGCAATTGCTAAAATTAATGTTTTATCTCAAAGCTGCATGCTACATAGGGGACCTACATGTGCTCGTTGTATTTTGTTCCCTGTTATATTTGTTGCTTTCTTTGTGTTTGTGCCCTCCTTGTGCCCTTGTCTCTGTCATCAGGGCTTGTCTTCATGGGTCATTGATAGTTCTTTGTTTGTTAGCTACTTCCTGTTTTATTTTGAAGGTTGTTTTTTTTCTTTTGACTTGTTTTGGTTTCACTGTCTGCTTTTGTTCCTTTCCCTCCTTTGGGATTGTCTGTGCTGTCATCACTGTCACTGTTTTTCATTGCTTTCCTTTGTGTTTCTCTCCTACCTGAGCCTAATGACGACTAACCTGCCCTGTTTTCCTTTTTACCTTTATCGATTTCTCAGACTTATCGTGCATTTTTTGAATTGTTGTTTTATTTTTCTGCTTTGTATCTTCCTTGTTTTTGTGCTTTCTGCTGGTGTGCATTTGCATGATTCTCAGAAAACTCCACTGCCTGAAACAATTCATTCTAGCGCTTATCAATTTCCCTTCAACCCAGCTCTCTTTTTATCACCTGCCCTGATAAACGAAAGATGTAGGACTTCCGTGCGCTCAGACAGGGCTCTGTGCTATAGATGATCATTTAATGATATCTGCAAACTGATGTCTAAGAGTAGAAAAAATTAAACTACAGACAGTGGCTTCATTATTTGAAATTTTGGCCATTTTTAATATGAGCAAAACAACAACAGTCTCCTTTAAAAGGCGCTCTGCATAAATATAAAAAACATAAACAAGAAGATTTGTGAGGCAGGTAAGTAAACGGTAGTTAAAAAAGAATAGTTTAAAATGTTTATTCACAAATACACAATAATGGTCTAAGGGGGAAGCACAGCAACATGGTGCTTAGCATTGTTGGCAGACAGCAAGAAGGTCCTGGTTTCTAATCCAATGTCTTTCTGTTTGGAGTTTGCAGGTTCTCCCTGTGTCTGCATGGGTTCTCTGTCCAGGTAATCTGACTTCCTTCCTAAAGTCATGCACTTAGTGGGTTTACTTTAATTGGTAATTCTAAATTACCCAAAGGTGTGAATGGTTGTCTGTCTCTATGTGTTAGCCCTGCAGTAGACTAGCAGCCTGTCCCGGGTGTACCCTGCCTCTCGCCCTATGGCTGCTGGGATAGGCTCCAGCCCCTGTGACCCTGAGTTGGATAAGGGGGAAAGAATGGATGAATGGATGGATGAATGAATGAACGGTCCAAGGGGAGGCAGGTGCAGAGTGGGCAGACATATATCCAAACCAGAGGAGCCTGGAGGCATTGGTCACTGTCTGATGCACTGAAAGAAGATCTGAGATATTAGGACAACACACTTCAAACTTTTAAAAGTAGACAGGAAATACCACGAGGGGGCCTGAAAAAATGCTGCCACACACAGTCAGTGCCACATAACTGGCAGAAAAATCTTGCAAAAAGTAGATGATGAGTGACCAACTGCAGGTGTACCAACCAGGAAGCCAGAAGAGACCGGTCGAAGCTATGCCTCCAGGGGGGAGGTGCTGACAACACGAGCGAAATGGAAGGAGAAAGAGAGAAGGGAGGCAGTTCAGCACTGGAGGTAAAATCAACCATAACAATGATGCAGCTTGAAATCTATGAGAACAGTGCAAAGATGATCAGGGAAATTATTTAAGGCAAATATTTTATACTTCAGATAGAAATCAAGGTACTGTAAAAAAATAAAATAAAAAATAAATAAGACAGAGGGGGAAAAAAGTAAACAGTAACAAAGGGAGTGAAGAGAGTGAGACGTAGGGGAGCAGGTGCGTTTTACTGAGGAGGTCAAGTGAAGTAAAAATTAAGGCTGTAGGGCAAGTGCAGAAAGTAAGTTGATATATTTTAGCTGTTTTTTATTGTTATCAAACCTGAATTGTATACATCGATATGTATGCACAGGCTTATTATGAAGCTATAGTCTCAGTATATTTTTTATTCTTTCATTAGTACTAAGATTGGTCTGCATAACTGGTTCTTTATTAAATAGTAATAATATTTTCATTTTGCTTTCGGCAACAAATCAAAATGAAGCTGTGCTCATTTTCACATATACAGAGAAGGATTTTAGTCCAAGCACGACTAGTTAGTGGGTTTATTTTTATGTCTCTTCTGCTTTCAGATGCCACTGAGTTCAAGTTTATTTCATTATTTCTGTGGGAGAACTGGGCCGAGGCAACAAATTCAGACAAACAAGATGCCACACTTGTCAAATCGGATAATCCTTTATTTTCAAAAGACAGTCTCGCCGAGTATAACGTTTTAGTTATTACATTTTCCCTCCACAGGCTGGCATAGTAAGAGCATGTACTTACTGTGAGATTAAGTAGTAAGTTAGCACTCAATCAACAGGGATCTGCTCCGGGCAGTTTACAGTGCAGCAAAAGTCTTATTTATAGACACACGAGCAGAAACAGCAGAGTGTGAAAAAAACACTCACCTCAAGTCAGCGGCTGAGTTATGGCACAAAAATCAGATGTCAGGGGAGATGGAGCAGATTAATCATGACAGCAGCCATGGCCATACAACTGCGGGACACTGAGATGCAATAAGGTTGACACAGGCAGTGAAATGGAGCTGTCATTCAGAATTAAGTTCCTCCAGTGAGACGTCTAATAAGGACAGTACCAGCTTGTCATGCTTTCATTGGTCTTATATGTCTTTTGTCTGCTTTGGCAGATCAAACAACACCATGCTTTTTAAAACTTGAGAGATTAGATGAAAACTGACAAAAGAGCTTGGTGATAAAAGGTGGAAGGTTGTTTATTTTTAGCAGTGCCGATATAGTGGTTCAGCTTTAGAGACGGTATTGATGATCTGTCGGTCGGTTTGTCGCCTTCTTTCACCCAAAGGGAAATCTTGTACAGATGTTTATGTTGTCCAGATATTGAATTCTGGTGTCTTGTAGAGCCACCACAAAACTGACATTTATGATTTATGATAATTTTGAGTGAAATGTCTCACCAGGTATTGATTGCTGTTTTGCACCTTTGTCATTCTGTTCCTCTCAGAGTGGTTGATTAATCAGACATTTTTACCTTGAGCCACCGTTGAGCTACCGTGACTTTTATAATCAAATGTCAGCAAAGCCACAACTGCAATTTGTATTTAGTGCCATAGCTTCCCATCTTGTACTGATGAATAAGACATAGAATAGAAGTTAAGAGATACCTAAAGTAATCTGTAAGAATACTGGATTTTAGTTTACTCCTTAAGGTGTTCAGTCTAAGATTCCCAGATATCCTGAACATGTTTTAAAGGTCCCAGGTGGCACAAAGTGTAATTAACGCAGCAATAAACTAGGTATACAAACTTTTATTTTAAATGATAACCTGTAGGCTAAGGTGATGACTTTGTCTGACATCGAGAAGACACTTCTTGCTAAGAGCGCTCAGCACTTTACAAGCATCCGCATCTTAATAATCTCAGGACTACACCACTGACTATAACATTTACATCACACTGGTCAGGCTCAGGTGTAACAGCTTCGTAACAGTATGTGCAGTATTGCATGTCATGTCGTATCCGTGTGCAATAACCTGTAGACATCAGGTGCAATAGTCGTATTTATTATTTTATTTTTACAGCACAGGATTTGATGCTCCTATCAGAGTACTTTGCAGTTATCGTAGACAGAGGTGGGTGATTTATGTGTAAGTGTGGAAATGGGTGTGACATATTGGTATTTGGCGTGATTACGCAAGCATGTGAGGATGTCTAATTGTTATTTGCATGTATTGTTTTTCCAGCATGAGCGTGTGGGTGTGTGGAAATATTGTTTTTCGTGTACACAGCAAATTTTGTAATGGCAATGACAATAAAAACTTATATTATATTATTGATTACAAATTTTTTAGGCTGATGTTAAGTAATAAAGTTTAACAAACATTGGTTTGACTTGCAGGTTAATGTGTAGCTGTCTATGAAAAGCTGCATATTAGCAGCAGGGGCTGCTGAAACCAGATGCCACA